TGTGCATCCTGTTCCCAGGACAAAGGGACCTTTCTGCTGAGGTAGGGCGGAACATCCGACACTTGCCAACCACCCTCTGTCACAAGTCTCACCTCACACTCTCCCCTGGGTGACTTTCTGAGCCGCTAGGTGGGACTAGGGACCTGGAAAGGCGGTGAGGCCACCAGTGCAGCCAGGGAGCAGAGACTGGGAGCAAAGAAACCCAGGTCTCCCCACACACAGGACGATGACCAGTGTGGCGTGGTCACGATCAAAGACCCTCCCCCATCCCTGACCAACAAATATGATCATTTTGGACTTGAGAATACATCTTTGGGGCTTTATGTCATCAGCCGACCCCATCTTTTCTGGAAGGTCACAGTCCTGAGATCACCCCGTCCTCCCCACTCAGCTGCCACCCAGCACCCAGCACCCAGCAGCTCCTGACTGAACTTTGCATGTATCTGAGTTTGAGACCCTACCAGAGACCTCCCCGCCACCACAACTCATTTGCCCAGAACAACAGAAGGAGTTAGGTGCAAAAAGCTAATGTGGCTAGTTGGGTCACCGGGCACGGAGACATTCAACCTGGGTGCACCTCCCAATAGACTTAAAAATTCGTAGCTAAGCACCATGTATGATGGCGAATGCCTGTAATCCCGACACTGGGGAGGCAGAGGCAGGGTAATCAGAAGATAATGGCCATTTGGGCTACAAAGGAAATTCAAGGCCAGCCTGGGCTGCAGGAGAACCTGCCTTGAAACAAACAAACTCATAGCTAATCTGAGCAGGGTGGTGTATATCTCTAGTCCCAGTACTTGGTTGGGGGGGGGGAGCTAAAGCAGGAGAATGAAGAGTTCAAGACCAGCCTGGGTTACATAGTGAGACCTCCATCTCATAGAACAAAATCCCTTGGGCTTCAGAGAAACGGAAAGAGCTTGTGAGTGGTGTTGGGGTTGGGAGTGGGGGCGGGGGTGGGGAAGAGGCCTTGACACTGCTGTCCAAAGCCTCTGACAGCTGCCTTGAGCTGGAGGCACAGAAGATTCTCACATAACTTAACAGTTACCACCCAATTGCTCTGGCTCCTGTGTTTGCTGCAACCCCTAGAAGAAGAAAAAAAATCCTGTCACCTCAAATTAAGCAGTGTACTTGCACTTGGGGTGTAAGGGTGTTTTTGTTCGTTTGTTTGTTTGTTTGTTTTTGCTGTAGACCTCTTCACTTGTCAATGAGCTGTGGCCACATCTCTCTCAGGGTCTCTCAGGGCATTGGATTTGGCCCACGTCAGGCATGGGTCACCATGGGTAATGATAACCCGGTGAGAGGCTCTAGCTATCGCCAGGTCCTGACCTTGGCTTGGTGACTGATTTTACACATCAGTGATCAGCAAAGACTGTTTGTCACTAGGAATGACGCACAGTGGGAGTCAGCAGCAGGCAGCGCCACCGAGAAGCCCCAGAGGGTTCTGGGAGCTCCCTCCACCCCCATCTATCCAGGGCTGCAGCAGGCAACCACATGAAAGAGAGCAGTGGCTGCCAAGCCCTCAGCTGGGGCCACAGAGGTGGGCACAGAGTCCAAAACAAGGGAGGCTCGATGTTCAGGCAAATTCTTTTCTCTTTTTTTAACATTAAAAAAGAAACAGTTTTAGGGCTGGAGAGATGGCTCAGTGGTTAAGAGCACTGGCCGCTCTTCCAGAGGACCCAGGTTCAGTTCCCAGCACCCACACAGCAGCTCCCAACTGTCTGTAACTCCAGTTCCTAGGGGATCCGACACCTTCCCACCAATGCACATAAAATAAAATAAAATAAATAATTTTATGGTTTATTCATTTGCTTTCTTACTTATGTATTTGGGGTTGTTTGTGTGGCATGGCACACATATAGAGGTCAGGTAACAATCTGTGGGAGTCGGTTCTCTCTACTGTGTGAGTGGCAGAGATGGAACTCGGCTCATCAGGCTTGTCAGCAAGGGTCTTTACCCACTGAGTCATCTTACCAACCAGCCTCTGTGTGTGTGTGTGTGTGTGTGTGTGTGTGTGTGTAACATTTTACTTTTTTGAGAGAGCATCTCATGTTTCCCAGGCTGGCTTTGAACCCACTATGCAGCCAAGGATGACGTCAAACTCCTGACCCTCCTGTTTCTGTCTCCCACACCTGGCCACTTTTATTTTATTTTTTTCCTTTAGGACCACATCTCTTTCTGTACCGCAGTCTGGCCTCAAACCTGTGCTATCCTCTCCTATGTGCTATCATGACAGGGGTGAGCCACCATGTCCATGGGACGCCTCTCGGGGCTCTGGTTCAGCAGCAGCAGGGTAGAACATGTTTTGTACCCTTGAGGTTTAGTTATGGCCACAAGGCCAGGAACAGAGACCGCAGAACAAGGAGGGCCGAGTGTCTTTCGTGTTACCCTGGAGAGGTTCCTCCCATGCAGCCATTGGTATCTGGAGACGGTTCATTTTCTGTTGTAGGACAGCTGCCCCGGGCATTGAGCGTAACTGAGTATGATGCTCCTCATTCTGATACAACTAAAAATATCTCCAGAGATTGTCCAGCGTCCCCTGGATGCAAAACTCACACCACCCTGGGAATGGCTGTACTGGATCGAGGTGTGGGAAGGAGGCATGTGTGACAGGTGGTGAGGGTCGGGCTGGGAATATGGCTGAGTGGACAGGGTGCTTTCCGAGCATATGCTAGGCCTGGAGCTCCATCCTCAGCACCAAGCAAAGTAGGCATGGTTGGCACTAGACTATGATCCCAGCATTCTGAAGGTGGAGGCAGGAGAATCAGGAGTTGAAAGGCACCTTCAGCCGGGCTGGGATGGTGCACACCTTTAATCTCAGCACTCAGGAGGCAGAGGCAGGAAGATCTCTGTGAGTTCGAGGCCAGCCTGGTCTACAGAGTGAGTTCCAGGACCGTCAGGACTGTTACACAAAGAAACCTTGTCCGGAGAAAACAAAAACAAAAAAGGGGTCTGGAGAGATGGCTCAGAAATTAAGAGCACTGGCTGCTCTTCCAGAGGTCCTGAGTTCAATTCTCAGCAATCATATGATGGCTCACAACACTCTATAATAAGATCTGGTGCCCTCTTCTGGCCTGCAGGGATACATACAGATAGAACACTGTATACATACTATATTAAGCCCAGGGGGAACTGGACTTAATAATAAATAAAATAATAAAAAAGAAAAACCAAATAAGAAAGAAAGAAGGATGTCATCAGCTACTTAGTGAGTTGGAGGCCAGCCTGGGTTGCATGAAACCCTGACTCAAATTTAATCTAAAAAATGAAGTCTAGAGCCTCTGGGTATATCCAAACTCCTCAATCCAACCCTGTCCATCAGCTCTGTGCTCCCTAAAGACTGAATCCCCAAGACAGCATTTTCTAAGTTAACTTCTGTCCCTATGACTCTTAGCAAATGCCATCCTCCAAGCCTGTCCTCACATACAACAAGGGATAAAGAAAGCCTATACACTTGTGCGTCTCCACACGGGAGATCCATGGCATGGGGGCAGAACCCCAGTACTCTGGCAATCGCTTGCCAGTACAGAGAGCACAAGATGGCTCTTCCCACACAAGGGCCTTGTGATGTACATGTCATCCCAGCTTGCCTACCCCATGTCCTTGATCCACACCCTGTGTTCACCCCTGTTGTGAGCGATCAGAGGGTGCAATGACAACACACAACTTGTTCTGCCTGGGTGGCTGGGGGGGGAGGAGGGGTAGAGATGGGGGGAGTGGGGGTTGGAAGGGGTTGGGAGGGGGAAGGGTGGAGTAGGGGGAATGGGGGGCGTGCCTGGGCAAGCCGACTGTGCCATCCTCAAACTGTGTTCATTTGTATTCTCAGCCCAGCCAGTGGGACAAGAGAGCTTTCTTGGGGAGGGCCAGAGAAAGAAGCAGTCAGGCCATTTGCCTCTGTGTGTGTGTGTGTGTGTGTGTGTGTGTGTGTGTGTGTGTGTGTACGCGCCCTTGTGGATACACAGGCCTCTGCACACAGCCAGGAACAGGCCAGAGGCTTGGAGTACAGCTAGAAGGGTTTTTAGATGTAAGACCCCCCCAGTTCTAGGTCATGGTAGTGATGGTGGTGTTGATGGTGACGACGACAATGATGATGGTGATTGTAGCGAAGACAGTAGTGATGAAGATGGTGGTAGTGGTGGTGATGATGGTGATGACAGTGATTGTGGTGATGATGATGATGAAGACTACTAATACACACTGGCTGCCTGTTCAATTTCACGTCTGCCACCTGGCGCTCATTCATGTCACCAAAGCGTGGCACACAGGTACTAGTGTCATCCCCATTTACAAATGAACAAACAGGCTGCGTGAGATCAAGGCTCTTGACCAGACCACTTATCTAGTAACCGCAGAGTCTGGACTTGAACCCAATCCCCTGGGTCTCACCCATCTGCCCTTTCACATGCAGAGTCCCTAGAGGATGGCAGGCAGTAAGCAGCTCTGTCAATCACTGGGTTGAGAGTCCTGCCCGAGGCCTGCCTCTCACTATCTCTGTGACCTGAGCCTCATTTCCAGTCTCTATACAAGCCACTTTTATGGTTCGACACTAATTTGAGTCGCCCATCCCCTGTTCCCCTCCCCCCTCCGCGCCCCCTCCCCGCTTCTTTCTATTTTGAGACAAGATCTCACTCTTTAGTCCAGGCTGACCTCGAACTCGTACTTCCTTCCACCTCCACCATTGCTGCTCTGGGATTGCAGGTGTGAGCTGCCATGCGGCTGGTTTTTGGCTACACACTAGTGTCCAGCAACGGCTCGGCTTTTCTGTTGTGGGATGAACCCCAGGGCCCCTGGCAAGGACTCTTTAGTGCAACCCCTCATCCCCATCCCCCAGGTCCTTCAGGCCCTTGAAAAATAAGTGTCTTCTTTCGCTAGTGAAGAAACCAGGAGGAAAGGGGAAGTGGACAGGGATTGAGGAGCAGGATGGAGAACAGGCCTGAGTGCCCTCCCCTGCACCACCACCCGGGACTGGACCAGGGGGCGTGGCTTTGGGGGCGTGGCCTGCCTGGGCCCCTATTGGCTGCCCCGAGGTTTCTCCAGAGAATAAAGCCCTGGAGCAGAGCGTCCTGCCAACCTTCTACTCTCCCAGGACTCAGACAGAATCTACCTCTCTCGCTCGCTTTGTCCAGCAACTTCTGTGCCGGGTACGTGGCCCCCAGTCTCAGCCCCACCCCAGGACTGACAGCCAGGGACAGCCAGAATTGGGTACCCAGGGGGAGGGGCTGGGGCACATCCAGTTCCAGTCTCCGTGTTCTGATCTGTAAAATGGGAGGATGGGTAGAACCCTCTAGCTTAGGATGCCACAAGGGTGAGATGTGACAGGCTGTGTTAACTGAGTGCTCGCGAGAGACAAACGACAAGGGAGGGATTTCTGCCCTGGAGCTTGTGCCCTACCCCAACTACATTTGCCAAGATCCCCACCCTACGCCTTTTCCTCACTGTCTATGGAGTCTCACTGTCTATGGAGCCGGGTGGGACTGGCCTCTGGGGTGGGAATCAGTACCAAGTACCCTGTCCATTTTTCCAAAGGTCTCCAATGTTGCTGCCTGGGGGCAGGGACCAGGTGGGGCTTCCCAAAGTCACCTGGAAGGGGTGTACATGGTGGGGACCACCCACCAGCCAGAGGCTGCATCAGCTGGGCCTTTTAGGTCCAGAGGAGGCCCAGTGTGTCAGGATGGGACCTAGCTGAAAGATAGAGCAAAGTTGGAGGTACCCTGCATGTACTTCTTCTCTGACTGCCATTCAAGAGGTCAACTAGAAAGAGGGGCCTGGTTGGCTTGCCTGTAATCTCAGCATTTGAGAGGCAGGAGAATCACAATGAATTTGAGTCCATCTCTCTTGATACTGAGGCAGGAGGATCACAACAAGTGGGAGTCTGTCATACACACACAGGTGCGAATACTCATATACACAAATGCGCACACACATGAGCGATCCTATATGTAAATGTTCACAAGAATCACCATCTGCCTAGGCTTAATCCTACTTGGCCCTGGATCTCTCTTAGGGCTTCTCACAGGGCTGCAAAGTGACAGTGGCTGAGTCAGTGTTAACCTAAGGGCTTCCTTCCTCACTGTCATAGCTACCAAAGGGACAGCATGGTGCCATTAGCCAAACCTGAACTTTGTTATGTAGCCTAGAAAGACTTCCTTTCAATGTGGAAGTCATGTGATAAAGGTGAACCTGGGGTCTGTGTTGCTCTCTGATCTCCATGCTAGGGGAAAAAAAAATCTATAATTCTATTTGTAAAAAAAACTGAGAGCCAGCATGTGGTGGTGGCATACACCTTTAAACCCAGCACTTGGGAGACAGAGACAGGTAAATCTCTGAGTTGGGAGGTGGTATGGTCTATAAAGCAAGTTCCAGGATAGCCAGGGCTACACAGAGAAACCCTATCTCAGAGAGAGAGAGAGGTGGGGGGGAGGAAAAGGAGAGGAAAGCCTTTTCACAGCTTGATACTGCGGTATCAGGTCTTTTTGGTTCTGTTTTAAGACAGGGTCGGGTCTTATGTAGCCAAGGATGACCTTGAACGCAAATCCTTTTGCGTTGTTCACCCCCCAAGTACCAGGATATAGGCTTGCGCCAAGACCAAAGGCTCATTTTTCAAAAATATATGTGTGTTGATCCCCAGGCATAGTGGGGCACACCTGTGATCACAGCCATTGGGAGACTGAGATAGGGGATCAAAAGTTCAAAGCTAGATGAGCTCCAGGCCAGCCTGGTCCACAGAATGAGTTCCAGGACAGCCAGGACTGTTACAAAGAGAAACCCTGTCTTGAAAGACAAACAAACAACCTCCCAAACACACACACACACACACACACACACACACACACACACACACACACGTTCAAAGCTAGTTTAGGCTACATAGTGAGAACATTGTATTTTAAATTGTTTATTGGGTTGGGAGATGGCTCCATCTGTGAAAGGGCTTCCTGTGAAAGCTGTTCCCACGAGGACCTGTGACTATGGCCCTAGAACTCACATCAAAAATGTCAAGCACAGAAAAAAAAATTGATCCCAGCATTAGGGAGCAAGAGACAGGAGGACCTATGGGGCTCGCTGGCCAGCCAGTGTAACTGAATCACTGAGCTCCAGGGTCAGAGACCCTGCCTGAAAAAGTAATCTGGAGAGCAATAGAGGAAGATACCGGATGTTGACCACTGGTCTCTACACACACACAATGTGTTTAAGTAAGATACAGGAGGGTAAAATGCTGGGCATGGTGGGGTGCTGTGGACCCGAGGGCCACTAGCCACAGGGACCCGGCCTGGCCTGTTTCTTCTGTTTGCTGCCATGGTTTACTGCTCATGGAAGCAGATGGGTTGAGGCTAGTTCCTGGTGACTTTGCAGAGACAGGACCTGGCTGCCCCTGCCTTGTTTTATCCACACCCCCATCTTGTGGCTCATTCTGATTCAGCTTGTACAAGACCCCTCCCCTGTTCTTGCCCAAGACTGCAGCCTAAGGATGTTTGTGCAAGACCCTTCCCCTGTTCTTGCCCAAGGCTGCAGCCTAAGGATGTTTGTGCAAGAACTTTCCCCTGCAACCTGAGGAAGTTTCTGAGCTCATAACCTTCCAGCTCTGGGGTGGGGCTGGGGCAAAGGTGAGAGCCCAGCTGAGATTTTACCCTGTGTCCTTTCCTTATCATCGTGGGTATGAAGGAGGAGTCATAGAGCTTAGGAGCGGGCTGCCGCCTTGACCCTTTGCATCTCTCCCTGTCTCCCAGCCATGGCGGTCCAGGAGCCCCTCCACGTGAAGACCCCGCTTCGTGACAGCATGGCCCTGTCCAAAGTGGCTGGCACCAGTGTGTACCTAAAGATGGACAGCTCCCAGCCCTCAGGCTCCTTCAAGATCCGAGGCATTGGGCACCTCTGCAAGATGGTACAGAGCAGGGTGGTATCCTGGCAGGAAGGGCACTCCCTCCTACCTGACAGTTCTAGAGCCAGGTGTGCAGATAGACGCCCAAGATTTCAGCACTCAGGAAACTGAGGGTGGAAAGTGAGTAGCATCCTAGGCTGCATAGCAAGACCCTGTCTCTCCTCCTCCTCATCGTCACCATCACCATCATATTAAGGGCTGAAGTTTAGACGGCTCAGCAGTTAAGAACACTGGCTGCTCTTGCAGAGAACCTGAGTTCAGGTCCCAGCACCCACATGGTGGCTTACAACTACCTTAAACTCCAGTTCCAGGGGATTTGACGCACTCTATTGGTCTCCAAGAGCAATTACACTCATGTGCACACAATTAAAAAAATAAATAAATATTGGGAGGGAGTGATAGCTAAGTAGTTAGGAACACCTGGGGCTCTTTCAGAGGAACCACACTCACTCTCAGCATACAAGTTGGTGGCTCACCTGAAACTCCAGATTCAGGGCATCTGATGCTCTCTTCTGCCCTCTGCAGGCAACAATGCCCACATACACATAAATAAATAAAATCTTAAATAAACAAATGCAATCTTTCTAAAAAGAAAATAATTTTAGGATAGGCTACACATATCAGAGATCCCTCTGGCTAAGGGGCGCCAACCCGTGAGAGTCCCTCAAGACTGACACCTGCCCCCTTGCCCCAGCCAGTCTCCTTGGGGAAGAGAAGTCTGAGGTTCAGATACCAACAGGAGAAAGGTGGGTTCAGTGTAGACTGACGACGTTCCAGTGAGGGGTGAGCCTAGGCAGGGATTGAGAGGTGGCCTGACCCCTCCTCTTGTCTCCACAGAGGGCAGAAAAAGGCTGTAAACACTTTGTCTGCTCTTCAGGTAAGTAGCCAGCCAGGAGGTTCTCTTTCCCATCCTATCTTGGACTGTGAGTCCTGAAGACAGGCACGTCATCCCTCTGGGCCCTGGTCTCTGCAGCAATGAACTCATTTATAGAAGTCCAGAAGTTCCAGAATGAGGCAGACGTCACTTGGGAGGAGAGGGGAGTCCAGGGCCTGACAGGACAAGAATGGTCAGCCCCACCTGGGGTCCCAAACTCTCCTTACTGACGCCCTCTCCACTGCCTCCCTGACAGCGGGCAATGCGGGCATGGCAACTGCCTACGCCGCCAGGAGGCTGGGCATCCCAGCCACTATCGTCGTACCCAGCACCACACCGGCCCTCACCATCGAGCGTCTCAAGAACGAAGGTGCCAGAGTTGAAGTGGTGGGAGAGGTGAGTGCTGGCCGGCAGGTGGCAGGGCTGAGAGGGCGGAGTCATTTCACTCTCTTCCTGCTCCCATTGCCCTACAGATGTTGGACGAGGCCATCCAACTGGCCAAGACTCTGGAAAAGAACAACCCAGGCTGGGTGTACATCTCTCCCTTCGATGACCCCCTCATCTGGTGAGTCGGGGGCCACCTCACTCCTTACTGCACGTGTCTGCCATGATGCGTAATGCCTGCTGGTCCTCCCCATGCTGCACACCCAATGTACGCAGGAGAGAACACACAAACACGCAGATGCACACATCAGCGATGGGAGGGGTGTCTCCAGATAGAGATTCGGGGAGATCAGCTCATCTGGGGGTGACTAGGAAGAAATGAAGTGGGGACGCACTGATGAAGGTAGCTCTCACGTGATAGCAGCTGCCACGGGCAACTGAACCTCAGCCCCTGGGGACCCTCAAAGTCTGTGGGGAATGAGCATCCAGGGAATGTGTCCACTGATGGGTAGGAAGTGGGCGTCTATCCACCACTCCTGCAGCCACCCTCTTCTGGAGGATGGGGGTCTGTGTCTCCTACACAGTCGTCAGTGTCCTGTGAGTCCATGGCTGGGCAGGGAAAGGGCAGGGGTCAGCTCTGAGGTTCACCACTGACTGCCTGGGATGGAAGCAAATGCAGCCTTAGCTGGCATCTCCAACCATCCATTGTGTCTTCAGGAAGCCCAGCCCTGACCTGCCACCCTTCTCCTGCCCAGGGAAGGCCACACTTCCATCGTGAAGGAACTGAAGGAGACACTCAATGCCAAGCCTGGGGCCATTGTGCTATCAGTGGGCGGCGGAGGCCTGCTGTGCGGAGTAGTCCAGGGACTTCAAGAGGTGGGCTGGGAGGATGTGCCCATCATCGCCATGGAGACCTTCGGTGCTCACAGCTTCCATGCTGCCGTCAAGGAAGGGAAACTGGTCACCCTGCCCAAGATCACCAGGTGAGTCTAGGGACCTTCGTTATACAAGCAGCGAAAAGGAGACTTTCTCATTTACCAGGTCACACAAGCAGGTGTGACCTTGAACGGGAGCCTTTATGTGGAGAATGGTAATGTCAACCACTTCTTGAGGTCCTCATGCCTCGCGTCTTTGCTGGCTGTTTTTCTGACCGCCAAGATGTGCAAGACCCTGGCTGATCTTGGGGGAGTGGAGGGACACCTTCTTGCCTGCAAGGAATTCATAACCAAATCCCAAATTTGCAGCTTAAACAAAATTGAACTTTGTTTCTCCCTACTTAAAAAAGAAAAGGAAGGGAAGGAAGAAAGGACAAGAGGAAGAAAGCCTATTAGGAAGAGTTCCTTGGAGCTGGGGGCCAAGTTCCTCCAGTCTGATGCTCCACTACTGAGTGTGTTCACCTAGGGTCCAAAGTGGCTGCTTTTGTGCCAGCCACCACAACCATGCTCCGCCTGAAGACAGGAAGTGAGGGCAGAAGTATGCACCTAAACATTAATGACAAAGTGGGCTGTCCCTCCACTGACCCTGGTAAGCCCATCATGAGAATTGAGATTGTTCTGAATAAATTGAACCTGGTCTGCCAGCTGTTTAGTACACAGTAATCTCATGGACCAACTCTCGGCAATCAGAGCTGTCTTACTTCCTCTTACTACTCATTGGGCAGAACTTGGTCACATGGTCACGCCTAGCTGCAAGGGAGGCTGGACAAAGTTTACACTAGGCATCCTTGAGTTCAGCTAGAAGAGATTTCTAGGGGGACGACAGTTTCTGCCATAGGTAGGGAGGGATAAATCAGGTTAAGGGATTCTTCCAGATTTCTGGGAATGATTTCACCATTAGGACTCCTGCCAGATGGAGTATGGGTGCAGTAGTTGGCACTCAAGCAGCCAATTTGACTCTAAGTTAATGTGCCTTGGGGCATCTACTGCCCCATCTTTGTTCCTGATTCCCCTTCTATAAAACTGAGTTAGGGGGAGAGGTGGTTCAGCGGTTAAGAGTACATGCTGCTCTTACAGAGGACCTAAGTTCAAGTCCCAGCAGCCACATAGTGGCAACCATCTATGAGATCTAGTGCCCTCTTCCGGTGTGCAGACATACATGTAGGCAGAACACTGGTACATAATAAATCAATCTTTAAAAAAGGGGGGGGAACCTGAGTTCAGGAAGTGTGTGGCACCTGATAATTTAGTAATCCTGTTCATTAGGATTGGTGGGGGGGGTGCTATTTGAGAACCTCAAGTAAACTATGGGACCGAGGGGCCCTGGAAGAGAGGGCCTCATCTTGAGTCTGGCAGGTTGGGGCAGGAGGTATGTGCTGTGCACAGTAGGTGGCCGTCACAAGCCAGGGGCAGGGCATCTCTGATTCAGGCCAGTCTGGGAGCACTGTGCAGGTTCCCGGGGCTGGGCAGGGGTTGCCCTTTCCTACCGCTCGCCTGTATCCCTGCCTCTCACATGCACCCTTGCCTCGTCTTCCCTCCCTGTGCCTGCTTCCCACTCCCATCTCCCAGTGTTGCCAAGGCCTTGGGAGTGAACACTGTGGCAGCGCAGGCCTTGAAGCTATTTTACGAACACCCCATCTTCTCTGAGGTCATCTCAGACCAGGAGGCCGTGGCCGCCATCGAGAAGTTCGTGGGTATGTACGGAGAGAGCTTTTCCCCCCCCTAATTTTCTCCCTCCTCAGCCTAGAATGCCTCATGGGTGGAAGCTAAAGCAAGTCAGTAGTAAAAAGAAAACACTAATGCCGCTCATGAGAGACTGAGCCTGCGTTTGCTTCCATCAGCTACTGGATGAAGGCTTTCTGATGACAATGAGGACAGTCACCAATCTGATTCATTAGATGGTCAGTTCAGGCACCCTCTCCACCACTGTTAGGAGTCTTAGCTGGGGTCATCCTTGTGGATTCCTGGGAGCCTAGCACTGGGTTGAACTCTGGGAGTCCTGTTGAAGAGGGAGGAGGGATTGTACAAGCCAGAGCATCAAGGTCATGAAACGAGAGACCCACACAGACAGCTTATCCCAGCTAGGGAGCACTGCATGGGACTAACCTAGGCTCTCTGCATGGGTGTGACAATTATGGTTTGGCCCGTTGGTGGGGCTCCTAGCAGTGAGACCAGGACCTGTCCCTGGTACTTATGTGGCTTCTGGGACCCCAGTCCTCATGCTGGGTTGCCTCACTCAGCTTTGAAGTAGGGGGCAAGAGCTCAGCTCTGCCCCAACTTAAAATGTCATCATGGGAGGTCTGTCCCTTTCTGAATGGAGACAGAGGGGTGAATGGGGAGGGGGATAGAGGAAGTGGGTGCGGGGCAACAGGAGATGGGGGAAGGGGGACTGTGGTCAGTATATAAAAATAATAATAATAAAAAAAAAAAAAAAAAAAAAAAAAAAGCCAGGCAGTGGTGGCACACACCTTTGAGCCCAGCACTTGGGAGGCAGAGGCAGGTGGAGCTCTGAGTTCAGGCCAGCCTGGGCTACAGAGCTACTTCCAGGATGGCCAGGGCTACACTGAGGGAATAAAAGTCTTGGAGGGGATATAAGGCCCGAAAGGATGAACAGTAACACACATTGCCAGCTGTGAACAACTGCAGCTTGTGCCGCATACCTAGGCACCTGTGATCCTCTCAGACACCCGAGAGCTCAGCCCAGGCTGAGGAAACCGGGCTAGGCTCAGCCTAACTGCTCCCAGCCAGCGAGAGACTTGGTCCTCTTTAACGGTGTTGAGGGCTGAGCAGCCCCTTTTCCCACAGATGACGAGAAGATCCTGGTGGAGCCCGCGTGTGGAGCGGCACTGGCTGCAGTGTACAGTGGTGTGGTGTGCAGGCTGCAGGCTGAGGGCCGGCTGTCAGCCAGGCTAGCCTCATTGGTCATTGTTGTGTGTGGCGGCAGCAACATCAGCCTGGCGCAGCTGCAGGCGCTCAAGGTGCAGCTGGGCCTGAATGGACTGCCCAAGTGATGTCCCATAAGAAGTGGGCACCAGCACCCCCGTGCAGTGTGAGCAGGGGATGCACCTGCCAGTGGCCTCACCCTCCTTTACCCACGTCTATAATGTGTACTTTTCCACTGTAAATAGATAAATATATATTTATAAAGCAAAGACTTCTTTGAGTTTGGTTTTGTGACATGGGGCCCATGTGCAGCCCAGGCTGGCCTCAAGCTGGAGAGCCTACTTCAGCCTCCAGAGTGCTGCGATGACAGGCACTGGCCACCACGCCTTGCTCAGGCTCCCTCTGCACCATGCTACACCTGCCTTGGCTCCCAGAGGAGCGATGCTCCCGCACACAAGCTTGGGTCTCCCAGGGGACTGACGTAAGAGAGTGGGGCCCACACATTCATAAATCTGGAGAGGGGACGTTAGTCAAGCCACAGAGGGACCTAGGGTAGGGCAAAGCAGCTGGGAGGCATAGGCAAGGCCACCGCATTCTAGTGCGAAGTCCTTACTGACAGGACAAGGACACCCTGAAACAGCAGCAGCCCACCATGTGCACGAAAACCAACCCTGTACTCCTGTCAGCAGGGCAGGTGAAGTGTCAACCCCCCCCCCCAATAAAACTCAAAACCCTCGACTCTGGGCTGGCTGGGCAGAGCTACCCACGCCTCTCAGGACCCAGGGCTGCTGGCTGGGTCAGGTCGTTCACTCCACGGCATGGCAGGGCTCCAGGACGCTATGAGACCATGGCTGGTCTACATCAGTGCAGTTAACGTTTGTGCACGCCACAGAGGGACACACTCTAACTTTCCTAACAAAGTCCAGGGACTGAGGGTTCAATGGGGCTCTATGGCACCACAGCCATGATTGCAGGGGCCCTTGACATATCCCAGGGGATGCAGCTCCCATCTGGTAGGACCCCACCAACAGATGAGGTAGGAACAGGACTAGAGCCCAGACCTCTGGCTCACAGGCTGTGAGCTCCGTGCCCCACAGCAGGGCAGCCTGTGAAACCACACAGGGAAGACGGGTTCTTGTGGGTCTCTGGGGCTCACAGAAGATTTAGGGTCTGGGTGATCAGCAGGGCAGGCCAGACTAGCGCCCAGAATACACCAGGTAAGATGGATGCTGAGCAGAAGCCAGAGAGACTAACAGGGACAAGTGGACATAGATGGAGGAACAGACAAGTGAACAGAGACAGACTGGTGGGCCGACAGATGAAAACAGACAAGCATGGCGGCCCATGTAAACCCAGCACATGAGAGGTGAAGGCATAGTGATCACAAGGTCAAGGCCAGCCTGTTACAGAGCAAAGGCTGTGTCTAAAACCAGAAGGAAAGGGTGTGCAGTGCTGGGGGTGGGGTGGGGTGGATAAATGAATCGGTAGATGAGGGCTGGGTAGCAGGCGGCTGGATGGATAGGAGAGTGAATGGGTGAGTGGACGGATGCGCAGGTGGCCAGCTATGCAGACAGACAGTGGGTAAGAGGACTGGCACAGAGTGAAAGGACAGATGGATGGCGAGAACAACGGACAGGGTGTGGTGCCAGAACGCTGCACCTTTCACTGCTGCCTCAGGAGACACAGCAGGGCCATGACCCCTCCCGTTTAATGGGACTCTGCTAACCACTGCAGAGTCAGGGACACCTACCAGGAAGCCAGGGCAGGCTGGGGGTGGGGTGGGGGTGAGCAGGAGTATAGGGTAACGGCGTACCCCTCCTGCAGAAAGAACACTCAAGACCCTTCAGCTACAAGCAGCCAGAAACTTTGGTTTTTGTTTTCAAGCTTCTATCCTCAGGAGAAGGGGATACGGACTGCTCCCTGAGGTGATGGGCCCGCAGGCTAGTAGTGACAGCAATAATGAGCCCCATCAGTGTCCTCCCACACACACTGAGGGACCAGCACTAAGAAAATGGTGCCCAGGATCCCACCAGGCCCACAGCCAAGCTTAAGCCCCAGCCCACTGGTGACGGGCAGAGAGGAGCAAGGGAGGGCGGAAGGCTCGGGGATGGAGAGTCAGCTCTGAGCCCACTGGTTTGTAACCCTGCAAAGAAGACTACCCAGACCAGAGTCCAGTGAGAGTCCAGTGAGGACCCCAAAGGGTAGGTGGCAGGCGTGCGACCCTACTGGCCACATAGAATGAAGGCAACTGGGTGGAGGCAGCGCCTCAGTCCCACGGGACCTTGATGGGTGAGAATGCCCAGAGATCAGGCTGGCCCATGTGCAGCATGTTGCAGAACGGCGATCTACTCCACCGGAATGGGGGCAACTGGTCCCACGTGGGGCCACTGGCTGCCAGCATGCTCATGTACTTGGCCAGTGAGAGGCTGGTCACCTGGAGGCCAGAGAGCAGGACACTGAGCTGGCGGGCGGGGCTCAAGCTGGGACCCAACTCTCCGAGCACCATTCTGAAGCTGACCCCAAAGTAGATGTCCCCTTAACCTTGACCCAACTGCAGCCCAGGTCTGACCCCTGACCCTGCACCTGTTCTATCCACCGTTCCCCAGGGGATGTGGCATCTGGCTTGGGTGACAAACCTTCACGTCGATGCCACCATGGGCACGCTGGCGCAGGGCCTGAAATGGGTAGGAGCCATTGGCGGGGTTGAGGTCAGAGCGGGCAGAAATGGCATTCTCCGCATTGGGCTTCGGGGTGCAGGCTTCACACAGTGACAGAGGGTCGTGAAGGAAGTCGTTATACCTGGGTGAAGATGGAAGGGATACTAATCACCCTCGAGAAAAGCCAAGCTCCTTGTGGCACAGGGTGGCCTCAACCCTTCCTCACCCCCCTACAGGATCACCCAGCCCTAGATGTGGGCCACCCCCAGCCCTCCATGGGGTCACCCCAGCTTCGTCACTGGGCTCTTCCTGGGGGAGGTTTTCCAGGCCCCTCCTCCAAGCAGACCAAACAGATGGTCCGTTCCTCAACAGCATCTGTGGGGACTCAGGCTGCCCAACCACACTTCAGCTCCAGCCTGGGTCCTGGGCAGGCATCTCCACCGCCCAGGAGAAAGGGATTCCCCAGGGATGGTAGGGAACAAGGCCTGCCACCTGCAACCGAGGCTGCTGGCAAGATTCAGTGGTACTATCACAGGCACACAGACGGCGCTCCACACCAAGCCAGAAGTGTGCTGACCCACCTCATGAGCCGGACCATGGAATCCATGTCCTCCACCAGCGACTGGTCCCTCTGGAAGATCTGGGCTCGAGGGTTCTTAGTGTAGGAGAACCAGTCTCCATACTGGGCCACTAAGGCCTGCAGTCCACTGGCGTTGAATACAGTCTCAAAGAACCTGCTGGGACAAGGGTGGTCACCCACGACTCCTACTGGCCACAACTGGCTGTGGCTCTGGCCAGGGTGGGAGGTGTAGTCACAGTGAACTGCCGTCAAGGCCACAGCAGGTTGCAGCTAGGCCTGCTAGTACTGTAGGGGATGACCCTGGGCTCTGGGGTCAGTCTTTCAGCATTCTCTGACCATGGAGCTGTGGGTGAGCCAGGACCCCTGCCTCAGTTTCCACATCAGTGGAAAGAGAACAGGCTGCTACACTCATGTATCATAGTCACAAGGACCCAGTGGCAGGTCCTTTCGTCCTGAGAAAGCGCAGGATCAAAGGTAGCTCTGAGGAACCCAGCTAAGACTGGGTTTACGGGGACTCACTGCCCCAGCCAGGCTTCAGCATCAGCCTGGGCATCTCCACCTCTCAGGGACAAGGGCGAGTCCAGCTGAATGCCTGGCAATACCCAGTCCCAAGGAGTGGCCATCCCAAGTCACCCTGCAGCAGGTACCAGATCCGGGCGCCACACATGAGGTCACAGTGCTTTCCCAGCAGGTGAGGGGCTGGGGCAGTTCTCACTGGGACAGATGGCAGGAAGGCACGGGGGAAGAGGATACATACGGGATGTTGTAGCTAGCCCAGTAGGTCGTCTTGTAGAGCTCGTCAGTCTTATCGGCCACCACCACCATGCCCCTGAGACCCAGAGAGATGGACAAAGCAAGTGAGGAGACAATTCCTGGGGCAAAGCCAGCGAGGGCTCTCAGGGCCCTCAGCGGAAACTGCTGTGTCCTGAACCTCCCACCCCCATCAGGGGCACCCTCCCCCAAGCCCCCCTTCTTCCTTCTGCCCCAGGGACTCACGGGATCTGTTCTAGGATGGTAAGCACCCGGCTTCCAGGGCTGGGCCCGTTGGGGATGAATGCCTTGTAGTCTACAATCATCCACTGGTTGTTATACCTGCCGGGCACAGGGAAGGAACTCCATCAAGCCTGGAGTGCTTGCAGGAGAGGAGAAAAGAAAATCCACTCATTCTTGAGCCTCAGTTTCCCCAAGGATAAAACAAGGAAGGGGCTGGAGCTGCTCCAGTGAGCATCTGTGAGGAGGCCCTGGAGCCCCAATGGTCCCCCCTGCTCTGAGTGCTAACTGGTCCCCAAGTAGGGGCTGCAAGGCCAGGAACGCACGCACGTGCCACTGTTGAATCGCTTGAAAACCTCTGCCCAGGTGGCCCCATCCAAAGCCAGGCGGTTGGCCACGATGTTTCGAATCCATTCCAGCACACAGCCCTGGGGCTGCACGTACTTCCACAGGGCTGGGTTCTTGTTGCCGATAGTGGTTTCCAAGGTGACCTGTGAAAGACAAGGAGGGCCACAGATGCCACGTGGCAGCCCTGCCCTGTCTTTGCTCAGACATCAATGTTTATGCTTCCCTTACAGTTCTGACCTGCTTGGTGTATATCCCTCGTGGATTCCTTGGAAAAGTACTTGGTTTGGGGGAGACTCAGGATCTTGTGCCCGGCTCTGCATGGGGGACCAGACTCCGGGAAGCCCAGAGTACAACTCCTGGGTTCCTCCCTTGTCAGAGGGTGAAGTCTCCCCCAAGAGGCAGCATTTCATTCCACCCCTCTCTCAGCAATGCAGGGGATACTGGTGGCTTGAGGCTACTTATCGATGCCCCTGCAGCCAGACGCCTCGGGAAGGCCTCAGTCTACCTCTCTCTCTCACAAGCCCCTCACCTCACCGTTCCCTGGACTCATATGTCTACATAAATATGCCTTGTTCTCACGGGTTAAAACCAATGCAGGACTAGCCAGGCATGGTGCACATGTCTACAACCTAGTACTCAGGAGCCACAGGCAGGAAGATTGTCACAAGTTCAAGGTGAGCCTGGTCTATGGACAGCCAGGGCTTCAGAATGAGACCCCATCTCAAGACCAAACAACATAACTGGGAACAAAGCCAAGCAAAGCCTGTGAAACTTGACTTTCAAACGGCCACATCCTGCCTGGCAGCTGGTGTGTGGCCCTGCTGTAAGAGAATCTTGACAGCTGAGTCCCAGTCAGCTTTTGCCACCCTCCTCCTGGAAGACAGGTGTGCAAGATCCAGAGAAGCTCAGAAACAAGCTCACCAGCTGGTCAGGGCTGGTGACCGGCACCCCAGCCTAAAGCTAGAGTTTAGTCCCCTGTGTCCCCAAGGGTGCTGGCCTGGGTCTTTCTTTACACACGGAGACCAAACAGAGCCAAAAGTTGGCAGGACCCATATGAGAGTGCTTTAGTGTCGGGGTTTTATTTGTTTTTGGGGGGCATTTATAGTGTCACACTGTAGCCCAGGCTGGCTTCGAACTCCTGGTTATTCTCCTGCCTCTGCCTCTCCAGTGCTAGTTCAGGTGTGAGCATAGGCCAGCGTTTTAAAGAGGGCATCGAATCTGTACACCTTTAACCCCAGTCCTTAAGTGGAGGCAGGAGGGTCAGGAGTTCAAGAAAACCTCAGCAACTTAGTGAGTTTGGGGCTAGCCTGGGCTACATGAGACCCTGTCTCAGAAGAAAAATAAAGATGACGTGTAAGCTGGGCCTGACACAGGTATGTAACGCCAGTCTACTTGGAAGACTGAGGAAGAAGAATGGCCAGCCTGGGGCTATGTACTGAGTTCCAGGCCAGCCTGAGCTACAGAGCGATACACTGTCTTATAAGCTTGAATACATAAATAAAGCAAACAAACAAAAACATAAAAATATAAAATAAAAGCTGGGTCTAGTGGCTCACACCTTTAAACCCAGTATTTTGGAGGCAAAGACAGGCAGATCTGTTTGAGTTTAGGACAGCAAATTCTAAACCAATCAGGGCTACATAGTAAGACTATGCCTCAATGAACAAATAGAATAAGAGTCTGAGAAGGTCACCAGCATGTGCCAGCGCAGTGATGAGGCCCAAGGTTCCATCACACACACACACACACACAGACACACACACAGACACACACACACACACACACACACACACACACAGACACAGACACACACACAGACACAGACACACACACAGACACAGACACACACACAGACACAGACACACACACACACAGAGGACCCTCTGGGAACAGACAAAGCTTGTTGGCCCGAGGCTCCTGTGACTAAAGCTCCCAGCGGCTGCCCCACCCCTGGCCCCCTCAAGCCTCTCCCACACTAGGAAGAAGCAACAGCAAAGGCCGGGACATGAGCCCTCCACGCCTGCTCCCTAGCATCCGCTGCACCCCTGCACCCAAGCGCCTTTCTGCAGCAAAGTCGGTCTCCTGGCAGCATCAGTCTATGATCTCAGCGCCAGGAACAGACTTCTAAAGGGGCCTGGAGGTCAGCCAGGGAGCAGAGGAAACAAGGCACTGTAAACAGCAGCTCTTCAGAGTGTGGCCAGGTTAGGGGGTGGGGAGAGGGGAAGGCAGCAGAGAGCAAGGTCCCTGGCAGAAAGGAGGTGTTTATGCTGAACACAGAAAAACAAACCAAGGTCACTGCACTCAAGGGCTTTGCAAAGGTCCCCAAGACCATAGCTCAGAGGCCCCACACACCTTATCCTTCACTGGATCCCCAGAGCCTGTGTGCAGTGTCCCTAGGAAGCGTGTGACTCGGTCACTCACCAGCCCACTGCCCAGGATGTAGAAGTCATCGCCGGAGAAGATGGTGCCCGGGTAAGATGAAAAGATCAAGTTGTTGCCAGCGATCAGTGGGTACTCCTCTGGGGGAGGAAGGGTAAGCTGGTCAGGTAGGTCCTCAGGGGACCCACACTCATCACTTCAGCCACTTGATATAGAAAACGAGAGCCCTTCATATAAAATATGTGGGTGGCACCTGCCTGGAATGCCAACAGCAGGAGGCTGAGGCAGGAGGACTGCTCCAAGTTCAAAGCCACTTGGGCTACACAGGGAGTCCCAGACCTGCCAGAGCTACAAGAAGGAGGAGTGTGGAAGGTAGAGGAGGAAGATGAGCAAGCGCATGAAGAAGAGGAAGGGGAGGAGGGAGAGGAAAAGGGAGGAAGGGGGGAGACCCACTGGCTGTGTCTCCTGGCTCCACACAAACTTGCAACATGGTAAACAGCAAGATGATCTGCAGCTGCTCCTCTATGTGGCTGGAAGGTCTTCCCTAAACACTGCAGAATTAGCTTTTAACATGGAGCAAATAAATAAACTCACTTAAAAATGTAGATGGATCTGAGTTCATCAGGAGGGCCTGCCTATGGGGAGCTCAGAGTCAGGTGAGTGTTTACTCTGGACCCACAAATTTGTGATCATATACAACTGAGACCAAATGCAGAATAAAGCAATGAAAAATCAAAAGGGATCTTGGTGCAGCTACAAGTAAACAACCAAGCTGCAGGATAACCTCCTGAGGGCTGTGGATGTCACCAATCTACAGGGATAACCTCCCAAGGGCTGTGGATGTCACATGCAAGAGGGCCTCACTATTAGTTATGATTTCCTCTGCACAGAGTTTCCACATATTGATGGCACTGTTTGGGGGGGGGGGGCTGCTGCTCTTGCCAGATGAGCAATCTGCCATGGAGCTCTATCCCCAACCCTTAAGCAGGTTTTTAAAGAGTTAAAAATGTAAGAAACCATGGTGGTGAGTGCCTATCATCCCAGTACGAGAGAGGCTGAGGCAGGGGGACTGCTAAGTTCAGTGCCATCCCACTAAGTGCCACTGCTTTCTCCCCATTGCCATTGTCTTGCCTGCCTCACTGGGTGACGCCCTATGGTAGACAAACCCTAGAGTGAGCTCAAGGCCAACTGGGGCATGCAGCTGAATGGTACAGTGCTTTCCCAGCAAGAAGGCCCAGGGCTCAACGCCCCCAGGCTAGAGTCAGAAGGTAGAAGGGGAGGTCCAGGCAGAGGGTGGATGGTAGTAACCTTGGGAACCAGCTGACAGGCCTTACTTGCCAAATAAGAATTCCCAGCATGGGGCTGGAGAAATGGCTGCTCTTCCAGAGACCTGAGTTTAATTCTCAGCAACTACATGGTGGCTCACAACCATCTATAATGAGATCTGGTGCCCTCTTCTGGAATAAATGTATACGTGCAGATGGAGCACTCATATACATAAAAAAAAAAAAAAATCAAAAATTAAAGAAAAAAAAAAAAAGAATTCCTGGCTCAGCTCCAGATCTCTGCCCGAGTGTCCCCCCCCACCCCCCCAACCTGTGCACCACCCTCCTGCAAGGCTGCTCGCTCTTCCCACCTTGAGGCCCCTCCCGGAACTGCAGCTGGTACTTCTTGATGATGCGCAGCATGTTCTGGTAAGAGTTCCATGTGTTGTGTGCCACCAGGAGGTCGCGCGCGCCCGGCAGCAGCTTGATGAGAGCTGAGCAGGAACCGGAGCCCAGGGAAGGCTTGGTGTTGGTCTTATTCAGAGCTGGCTCGAGGTCCTCCAGGTCTCCGGCAATCTGCAGCAGGCTGAGGAGGCAGGATGGGAGGGTCAGTGCCTGCTCTGTACCCAGGTCACAGCTGAGGATCCAGGGCTCAGTAGACCCACTGTGTTCTGGGAGCAGGAAATGGCAGAGCTGGCACAGAACCGGGATGACTGAGGTCCATGGCTCCTCACCCACCCTGCGCAGGCTGGGGGGGGGCACTTACAGGAACCCCAAGGGTTTGATGGTGAACTTCCCAGTTGGGAAGGTCAAACGGCCTTCGTAGCTGTCCTCCAGGCCTTTCAATTGCAGGAGGGTCAGCCGCACCTAGGGGAGGGGCAGAGGGAGGATGAAGCTCCCCCCCCCCAGTTGACCCCTTCTACACCACTGCAGGGCTCTGACCTGGTCCAGGGGTGTGCTCACAGGCTCCAGCCAGCCTCTCCTGCTTTCAATAACTCAACTGTATGACATATCCTTATGCTGACCCCAAGTCCCCCTCACTTAAGAACCAGGGTCAAAACCACCTTCCCCACAAAACCTTCTAGTTTGGCTGGACCCCCTGCCAAACACCTCCCTAGTCTTAGATGCTGGCCGTGTGGCTGACCCTGGCACCTGTCCTAAGGTCGCCTTCTATCCTCAGTTCTGCCTTAGCACCTGTAACTAGAGGCATCACCATGCCCCTCACTGGGTCTTGGCTGGTTCTGGGCAAGGACTAGGAACTTAAGTAAGTATGCGCAAGATAGATGGGCAGACAGGATGACAATGGATGGACAGGAGGGGATGGGTAGACAGATGGACAGACAAAAGGATGGATAGATGGACCAACAGGAAAGTGGATGGATGGCTTGGAGGGTGGATGGGTTGATGTGTACATGTGTGGGTATCTAGGTAGATGTATTGCTGGGAGAATGGCTAACTTAGTAAGCAGAAGCATAGGAGGGTAGATGGATAGGACAGAAGGGGGCACGTGACTGATCTGTAGGGTAGATGGGTTGATGTGTTGGTGAGTAGCAGACATATGGAAGGATGGGGATGGATACATGGATGCACAGGAAGAGAGCCTGATGCAGCAAGTGCAGGAGGTGGATTGGCAGGGAGGAGTCTGTGCAGGAGGATAACGGTGTCAGCACTGGAGGATGTGCTAACAGGCAGCAGGGTCATCCACAGAGGCTACTGCCTGTGCTGCGCAGCTAAACCCTCAGGCCTGTAGAGAACTCATAGTCTTCATGCCTTTTTCACTGATGACCTAGCCAGCAGCCCAAGGCCAAGAAGCCAGCTACACAGGACCAGGCCCTTAGCATCCAGTCAGTCCAAGCTCAGCCCAGGAGGGAATGCAAAGCCTGGCTACTTTGCATGCCTTCATTTTTCTCCTCCCTCCCTTTCTGAAATGGTGTCTGCTTTATCCAGCTTTCCGCCGTGTCCCTGACATCGAGGTTCTTTGACAGCAGGAAGGCAGAAAGGGCTGGGCATCCGGGCCAGATTGGGCCGTTGGAGGTTCATCAGGCAGACAGATGGAAGGAGGAGGGCGGCGGATGCTGACAGACACTAGAGCAGACTGAACTTCCGGCTCACTCAGGGCCAGCCAGGGACTGCACGGGACATGGGCACCCCCAAAGTGCCACCTCCCTTCGAGCAGGGCAGCCTGGCCTACCTGGTGCCAGTATGGAGAGTCCTGGTTAAGTTCCATCTCCCTCTGCATCCACTCCAGGTTGGCCTCCAGGAAGCTCTTGAGCTTCTCACAGTAGCCGACTTCGTACTCGAAGGGGCCGCAGTAGTTGACCACAGTGTTCATCCAGTGCATGTAGACGAGCTGTGGGGAGGGGCAGGGCAGCTGCCGCTCTCTTTGTGCAGGACCCCAGGACTCGCCCCACCAGAGTGCCTGCAGAGGCAGCTCCTAGCCTACGTGGCTCTTGGCCCCCTTCAAGGCCCAAAGCCTCTTAGGTCTCCCTCCCCTGGGACCTGTGATGTAGAAGGTCTAGACTAGACTGCACCTCCTGTTGCTGGGAGGGACCCAGGTTGAGCAATGTGCTCCACTATCAAACACAGGGTCTTGGGCTGTTTCTGTGGCGTTCGTAGCACTGGAGATTAGACCCAGGGCCTCACACAGGCCAAGCAAATGTTCTGTAACGCCACTGGACAACAACCTGGCCCTCAGGCCTGGTTTTGTTTTGTTTGGGTTGTCTGGAGGTAGTCTAATGAGGATGAGCCTGGCCTTGAACACCTGATCTTCCCGCCTCCACCTGCCCAGTGCTGGAATTATAGGTGTGCATTATCAAGCCTAGATATACAGGGCTGGGGCTGGAACCTGGAGCCTGCACATGCAGCCACATTCCCCTCTGCTGACTCACTGGGCCAGAAAAGTGTGCTGGGCAATCAGCATTGCCCAGGGACAGTGCGGACAAGCTTGGGTTTGCCTGCTAGTTAAAAAAGACTGCAACCAGCCTACCCAGTCCCCACAGCTGATGGACATCAACTCCTGGACATGTGAATGAGGTTATCCAAGGCCACCCAGTTACCCCAGTTCCCTGCCAGCCAACTACAGCAGCACCAGTGAGCCCACCAAGGTCAGCCTGACCCAGCCTAGAATAAGCAGGGCTCACAGCCAATGCTCCCTGGGAGGAGGCCTGCTGGCCTTGCTCATGCTAGTGAGTGTCCTCGCACACTGGGCATGCTGCCGGCTCCAGTGCTCTGAGCTAGGCACTGTGGTTGCCATCCCCACACAGTGGCCCAGCCTGGGCTGGCCATCCAGAAGCTGTCATGGGTTTGGTCTACGGCGTAGCACTGCTGGGAGGAGAGCCTAAGGTCTCTGAGGTCTGTCCTGGGAGGGGACTCTGGGACCCCACTACCTTTTCTCTCCATTTTTGCCTTCTACATATATGTCCCTGACACTGCTGCCCAGACCCCACCAAGGCCAAAAGCAAGGATCCACCCAGTTTTGGGCTGGAACCATCCAGAGCCATGAGCCAAACAAAATAAACCATTGCCTTTGAGCTTACTGCCTTGGGTATTTCAGAACAGTGAAGTGAAACCAACAATCCACTTTACAGTTGGGGAGACTGAGGCACAGGTAGGCAAGTACCAGTGTCCCCAAACACCAAGACATTGAATCAATGTCAAAATGTGCTTCTGTCCAGTCCCAAAGCCCCACACTCTCTGGGCAACAGCTGGAGGTAACTGCCAGCCACCCTATGGAAAGCCTCTCCACCACGAGGCCCCCGGCGCACTGACACACCAAATCTTGCTCACCCCCAGGCCCTACTAATGCTGCCTGCCTCCTTGTAACCTCCCAGAGCCTCCAGAGCACTGCCTATTGCCTGGCCTACCTGAGGGTCAGGCTGGGCTCAGCTGGGGACTAGACATAATCCTTGCAGGAGGCAGCAATAGTACAAACTGTCAGGAGTGGAGACGGGCCGGACAGAGCGGGGTCTGAGTGCTGCCCCTCGCCTTGAATGCCTGTTTAACCTTAAGGAAGCCTCTCAGGACCCAAGTCTCATCACCTCTCCCCAGTGGAGAGGGCCAGGCCACCCTCAGGAGCTGAGATCCAGTGAGATGACACAGGCAAAGTCCCAGGCACATCCCTCTGGCACAACAGCCACTGTGGTATTGCCTCAGTGTCACCAGCAGGCTAAGTGTCCCTCGGGAGAAGGAACTGCATCTCAGTGTCTTCTTAGAGGCAAAGGCTCCTGGGTGGCCTGGATGGTGGTTAAGCTTATGAAGAATCCCACAGAGGCTGCTTCCGTGACCCCACAACCCCCCATGGCATAGCTCACACAGTCCGCAGTCCCTCACTGTCACTGTTCCCATCAAGCTCCTCCAGCCTCTGGACACCCCATGTATGTCCTTTGGGTCACCAACAGGATACATATTTAAATAGTGGCCACTGGACCCTGAGTGGATTCTGCCACCCTATAAATTGATGCCCAGGAATTTCCCAAAGTGGGTGTCCACTGACCTCCCATCCAGCGTGGGCAGAGCTGTCACCCACAGTGGTGCTAACTTCTGATGGGTGAGGCCCCTGACAGTGACTGCAATCCCTGCGGTTCCACACCAGGCAAGCAAGAGACTGTGCTGTCTAGAGGCTTGAGACATGCAGGAAAGCTAGTTTCACACAGGTAGGACACACTGAGTTTGCAGCCAGCCAGGGCTACAAGATTCTCTATCAAAAAACAAAAGCAAAAGCCAGGCAGCGATGGCGCCTTCCACCGTGCGACTGCACTTCTATGAGATGCTGTTGGCCACCGTGTACCTAAGGATAGCTGGGTGGGACCCTCCTGGGTGACAGGGACACTCTAGAACTGGACACCAGGCCAGCTGTACAACCTCAGAGGTGTACCCAAAACCAGTGGGTTGACTGTTGTCCCTTTCTTGGAGGGGTAGGCTGGGGGTATGTGCTCAAGGCTGTCCTTCAATGCCTGGTCCTTGTCCCTCCTTCCCCCATCTGCTGGGACAACAGGCACGAGGAATAGCCTAGGGGTTTTTGTTTCTTCCTGTCTACCTCAGGCTACCCTTAAACTTGGCAATCCTCCTGCCTCAGCTTCATGTGCTGTTGTGAGGAACAGGCTCTTTTTCCCCCACTTACACGGAGCACAGGAGGTGGGGTCCCATTCAGCACACACACCAACCCCACTGAAGGCTCCCCACATTGGTCTAACCTCCTCAGACACAGAGGCCTCCACCACACCAGCTGCATAGGCCTGCAGGCTGTCATTGTAGTTTCCATTTGTGCCCAGGTCCAGGTAGGCCCACCTGGAGGGGAAAAAGAGGACATCCAGTCATCAGCAGGGACCTGTGAAGTCGGCCACCGCAGCCAGACCCATGGCTGCAGGCACTCTGGGGCCCGCTCTCCACTCCTTACACCTCAGATGGATGGAGCCCAGGGCCTCATGTGCCAGGCAAGTGCGACAGCCCCATATTTGTTTCCGTCCCTTTTTCAAACAGGGTCTCACTATGTAGCCCAGGCTGGCTCGGAACTCCAACCCTCCCACCTCGGCTTTCCAAGTGCTGAGATCACAGGCGTGTGACACCATGCCTGTCCAGTGTCTAGTTTTCGGGCATTAAAACAGCCTAGTGAGCAACAGTAGCTCACACAGATGTCGGCCTGCCAGTCTGTACCGGCATACCCACTGGGCCAGATGCCTGAGACAGGAAGTGCTGGGCCAGAGGATGTATTTCAGAGCCTGAATCTGTCTCCTCTCCCCACCCACGCCAATAGATGTCCCAAATCATGCTGGATGGATGGCCCTTACTAAGCTGGCAATGATCTAGCAATCACATCCAATTTGTCCAATGGCGACCTCACAGTCCTTCCAGATAAGCACTGCTAGTGGTCCCATGACATGGAAGAGGAGGGGACGGAGACGGGAGTTTGTCATCATGGGATGCATGCCCTCTGTCCTCACTCTCTACCGTGAGACTCTGCAATGTCTCCGCCACGGCCACGTGTGCCCTGCCCACATGTCATCTGTGCTGTGCCACACATGTGGCTCGCTTTGCCCAGAGGGACAAAAGAAGAACTGATAAAGCGCCGTTAAGAAGAGCAGGAGGCCGGGCGGTGGTGGCGCACACCTTCAATCCCAGCACCCGGGAGGCAGAGGCAGGAGGGTCTCTGAGAGTTCAAGGCCAGCCTGGTCTACAAAGCTAGTGCCAGGACTGTTACACAGAGAAACCCTATTTTGAAAAGCCAAAAAAGAAACAAAAAACAAAAACAAAAAAAAACCCAAGAGGCCTCTGACGGCCCCTACCCTCCTGTGGCTCTGCTGCCGTCGTGAAAGGACAGCACAGTCAGTCCACAGGTCCCAGGAAGGAAAACACCCAGAGCAGAGCAGGTCTGCAGAGCCGAGGCTTGAAGCACAGTGGCCCAGCACTGTCGCCCAGCGCTAACTGATGCGCTCGCAGGGTCAGTGGTCACCAAGCGCAGAACAAGACTTCTGTCAAGCCAGGCTACCATCCTTATTTAGTTATTTATTTTTGAGATGGAGTCTCTCACAGAGACCTGAATTTCTCCAAAGCTCCACCTCCCGCCCCAGCATGGGAGCGCTAAAATTAACCCTCAACCCTTGTCCTCATTTTCTTTCTTTTTAAAATGTATTTATCATGTATTCAGTGTTCTTCGTGAAGAGGGCACCAGACCTCATCACAGATGGTTCTGAAACATCATGTGGTTGCTGGGAATTGAACTCAGATCCTCTGGAAGAGCAGCAGCCCGTGTCTCTTTTGTTTGTTTCGTTTTGTTTTGTTTTTTTGAGACAGGGTTTCTCTGTATTGCTTTGGAACCTGTCCTGGAACTAGCTCTGTAGAGCAGGCTAGCCTTGAACTCAAGAGATCCACCTGCCTCTGCCTCCCAAGTGCTAGGACTAAAGGCGTGCACCACCAACACCTGGCTGCAGCCAGTGCTCTTAACCACTGAGCATCTCTCCAGTCCTGTCCTCATTTTCTTAATTGAATTGCCTTTATCCCGAGAGGCAGTGGTGCATGCCTTTAATCCCACAGGCAGACAAGAGGTGGATCTCTGTGAGTCTGAAGCCAGCCTAATCTACAGAATGAGTTCCAGGGCAGCCAGGACTACACAGAGAAACTCTTTCTTGGGGGGGAAATTTTACCTTTGAAGTATTTCTCCCAGACGCTGGAGAGATAGCACAGCAATTATGAGTGCTTGCACAGAACCCACATCTGTTCCCAACACCCACATTAAGCAGCTCACAAGAAGTCCAGTTCTAGGAGATCCAACCCCCTCTTCAGGCCTCTGCAGGCACCTGCATGCACATGGTACATAATAAACTCACTCAGGTATACATGATAGTACTCAGGCATCTGCACTGGCCTGTCCTTGGGGTTCTGACAGGACACGCCCTCAGCTGCAGCCACTAAGAGCACCACCTGTGCACACTCACTATGTTCCCTTTAAAAGGGGCCTGCCCACCTCCCTTCTCTCTCACTCTTTTCCCTCTCTCCCCCTTTCCCCTCTCTGGCTGTTCTCATCCCCCAGAGGCCAGTCTCCGCTCCCCTTCCCCTTTTTATGATACCTTTCCTTAATTAAAAACCCCTCTGCTTGAACCCTGTTGCCTGGTGTCTTTCTCTCTTGCACAGCTTTTCTTAAACTATGACAAGACACACGTAAATATTTAAAAACAAAACAAAACAAACAAAAAAAAAAAACATTGGGTGGGGATGGGTGTGCAGCTCAGTTGGTAGCGAGTTCACCTAGCATGCCCCAAACCCTGGGTTCTGTCCCTCACCCTTCATAAATTGGGTATCTGGTGACATAACTATAAAATTGGCATTCAGGAGGTAGAGGCAGGAGGATAATAAGTTCAAAGTCATCTAGAACAGCCTGAGTGTGTGTGTGTGTGTGTGTGTGTGTGTGTGTGTGTGTGTGTTGGAAAGACAGTCCAGTCTGCTTCACAAGCATGGAGACCACGCAAAAAGCTGGTGTCCCGTTTTTGTAACTGCAGCACTGAGGAGGAAGAGGACACCGGCAAATCTTTGGGGCTCCTTGGACAGCCATCTTCACCTCATCAACAAGCCCCTATCCAGTAAGAAATCCTGTCTCAAAAAACAGGGACACCTGAGGGACACCACCCAAGGTATACATACCTCTGGCCTACACTCACCACACACAGAAAAAGAACAAAACACACACACTTCTAAAACCTAATTATGGAGTTTTTAAAGACAGGATCTTCCTTTATAGCCCACACTAGCCTCATAACAAAACCCTGTTTCAAAATTTTAAAACTAAAAGGGCCCTGGGTTCAATGCTGCCCAGAGTTCCAGAAGGAACGAAACAGAGGAGAGAAGAGCAGAAAGAGGAAGTAGTAGCAAGTTTTAAGAAGTTAGGCCACCTGGGCATTGGTGAACCAAGCCTTAAATCCCAAAGTTGGTGAGGCAGAGGCCGGGGGATCTCCAAGAGTTTGAGGCCAGCCTGGTCTACAGAGTGAGTTCCAGGGCAGCCAGGGACACACAGAGAAACCCTGTCTCAAAAAACAAAAAACAAACAAAAAAAAAAAAAAAAACTAGGCCATTGCTGAGGTGGTCAGGGGTCTCAAATGTCTCCTATACAGAACCCTAGGTTGTCCACACAGCAGGCTTCTCTCTAGCCTTTCTTCAATGGCTGGGCCTTACTCACCCACTTCCCCAGCTGCAGTAAAGATGCTCCCTGCTTTCCTAACATGCCCTCTCTCGGTCTACCGCATGGTGACCAGCTCCAAGCCCCACTGTACATAGCCTTGTGATTGGTAGAATTCAGTTGAAAAGGAAGAAGGGAGTCAGAGACCCAGCCAGGCTGGCACAGGCTCTGCAATGGGACATCTCCATCCACCGCACACAAAATCCTAACAGTCTCAGAGCTGTCTTGGGTGTTGGTTCAAAGTCAGAATCATGGGCCCTCAAGACAGCTCGGTAGGTTAAGGTGCTTGTCGCTAAGTCTAAGAACTTGAGTTTGATCCCTGGGGTCTATGAGTTGTCCTCTTAGCTCCACACACATCATAGTACATGTGCCCTCCACCTCCACACACATCACAGTACATGTGCCCTCCACCTCCTGCCCCATAAATAAATAAATGAAATGAAACAATAAAAGTCGGACTCAGAACAGCAGAAAGGAAGGAGGAAGGGGAAAGGGAATTTACCCCCAACAATCCCAGAATTGGCAATGCAGGAACCTCCAGAAAGAAGGTGGACTCTAATTCTAGGAGTCTAGCTCCTGACCTCTGCCCTCCAAAAAAAAAAAAAAAAAAAAAAAAAAAAAAAAAAGAGAGAGAGAGACAGGCACCCCCAGCAGGCCTGCCCACTGTCAGGGGGACCAGGGCAAACCAAATATCTTCCACTGACCCACGTCCTCAAGCTGTTTCCCAGAGTCTGCTGCCCCGACTGTAAGTCGTGGTCTCCCACTATGTACCCCCTGTACTGCTGGAGTCTCAGGGTGAAGGGACATTTGATATAGGAGAGGAGGGAGAGGGCAGAAGGATGCCAGCATGATGAGAAGACTCAGCTTCCCCATCACAAAATGGCCAGAGGATAATTATTCCTTTCTGTCATTTCTTCTTCAACCGGCAGGGGTGCTTTCTAAATCCCAGTGAGGCTGTGGGAGCCTTTCAGGCAAGAGAACAGAAGGCCCCTCCCCACTATTATGAGCCCCCAAACTGAAAGCATTCCCAGGCCACCTGATGTCCTCCTGAGCCCAAAACCCCCTCCCCACACAGGCCTCCGCATCCAGGCAGGGGTTCGTCATGCCCTCTTGGCCCTGCTAGACCAGAACAAAAGTGAGTCAGCCAGCAAAGAACAGGCTACCAGATCAAGGCACATGGGGTACCCTTGAAGGGAGCCGGCTCCCTTCAAAGTCAACTGTAGGGCTCTGCTTGGACCCCTGAGGCACCTTGAGCTGTTGGCTGGAACATCCTGCCCAGAGTTGTTAATGGTACTCTTCCTGATTTGCTAACACACATCTGCTGGGGAGGAACTAAGCTCGAGAACTTGCATGATTGACCCTTGATTGTTTTCTATGGTGCTGTGTGTGAGTCAGTATAAGCCTACTCCTTCCCCTCAACAAATGGCATTCGGCATTCCAGCATTCCTGTTGCACGAATAACCCGCTGTCTGGTCTTTTATTTAAATCTCTAGGCCTTCGCCCAATTAGTGGAACAGATTGTAGTGCGGGCGCTACAGTCAACAGCCTTCTTTCCCTGGAAGCCTTCCTAGACTGGCCACACCTAGCTGTTACCTCTGCAATGACCACCAACACTGGAGGTGTCTTTAGCACCTTGTGCCCCCCAAGGCTGTGGAAGCCCATGCCGCAGGAGGCTGTGTCCTCTAAGCATGAGTACATCGAGGCCTGGGGGAGGGGGAGGACATGCAGATCTGGAGGTGTCCCCAGCAAGGTCTGAATCTGGGTTTCCAGGCAGATTGCTGGCCCTGGTTTCCTGTGGGACTTGTCTTGTCTGTTTGCCGCTCTCTCCGCCTGAGACCACACACCAGGATAAGAATGACTGAGCACACGCACACACGCACACACACACTCTCTCTCTCACACACACACACACACACACACACACACACACACACACAATCCACCTTTAAGTTCTGGGTTCACAGTGGTGATTCGAAGACCCAGGCTGTCAGGAGTTATCGAGAGGCTAGGGATCTTACGGCCAACCTGTGTCCCAAGAGTGACACTGATCATATCGACAAGCCCTTGGCTCTGTAGCATTGGGCCATAAACTAGTCCCTGGATGGCCAGGAGCAGCAACAAGGATCTTGTCTATGCTTGTGGATTTAGGGACCCTCAACGATCCCGCTGGCTTGGAACCAGGCTCATTCCTGGCGCCCTGGCTCTGGAGGGGGACAAGGGCCTGACCTCCTGGACAGCTGTCACTAACACTCAGGCTGGAGAGCCTGGTGTGGTGGCACACGCCTCACGCGGGTCTGTGAGTTCCAGGCCAGCCTGGTCCACAGAGCGAGTTCTAGGCCAGCCTGCCCATGTAGGTGGAAAGCGGGTCCCCCAGCCCCTCAGGGAAGAACCCCGTGGTTGGGATCGGGAGTTAATGTGTCACCCATTAACCCTGGGCCTGACCCGGCTGTGGACTCCCGAGGTGGGCAGCCCAGAGTCCTGTCACCCGCCAGGGCCACACGCGGTGGCGGCGGGGACGGCCAACCCTTACCCGGTCTCGCGGATGGCGTTGGTGAGGTTGGCCCAGGCCACCGCGTAGGGATGGATGCCGTCCACCAGGCGCAGCTGACCCGACGCGGTGTCCAGCAGCAGCGAGCGGACGCGGGAGACCGGCGGGTCGGGGTTTCGGTGCCGCCAGCCGGGTCCTTGCGTGGGGAGGGCGCCCGCCAGGCCGTTCAGCAACACCCCAGCCAGCGAGGCCAGCGCCAGCGCTAGCCTCAGCGCCCAGGCCGCCCGGCCGCCGGGGCTCCCGTCCATGGGGGCCGCCATCGCGCGCCTCAATCGGGCCACGTGACTGCCGCTCCGGAGGCGGGGCTGGGGCGGGGCCTGCACGGGGCTTCCGGAGTGGGCGGGGTCTCTGGACCGGCGTGGGTGGGGCCCGCCTTAAAGGGTACACACTCGCCAGGGAAAGTCCGCTTGACATCCTTCCCAGGATTGGCGTATTCTTTTTGTTTTATTTTGTTTTTTGCTTTGCTTTTTCGAGACAGGGTTTCTCCATAACTTTAGAGGCTGTCCTGGCACTCACTCTGTAGACCAGGCTGGCCTTGAACTCACAGATCTGCCTGACTCTGCCTCCCGAGAGCTGGGAGGGAGTAAAGGCGTGCTCTACCAACAGCTGCGCGTGTTTTTGTTTTTAATTCTTCCTCTTTTAATTTTCACTAGTTTTAGATTTTTTTTAATTTTATGTACATGAGTGCTTTGCTTGCATGTGTGTATATCAGTGCCCTCGAATGTCAGAAGCTATTGGATCCCTTGGAACTGGCGTTGTGATCGGTGTGGAACACCATGTGGGCTCTGGGAATCCAGGTCCTCTGTAAGAGTATCATGTGCTTTTAACCACAGAGCGGAGCAATCTCTCCAGCATCGATTTCATTTCTTTTTAAGGATTTATGTATGTGCAGTGATGTGTTGGGGCAGGGATGGGGGGGGAGGAGGGTGGGGTGTGGGGGGTAAGGGAGTAGATGCTGGTACCTGTGGAAGCCGAAAAGAGTGCTCAGTTGTGAGCTGCCTGATGTGGGTGCTGGAACCCACACTCAAGTCCTCTGCAAGAGCAAGTTCTCTTAACTACAAAACTATCTCCCAGCCCCAAATTTCTTTTGTTATCTGTCCATGAATGAAATAGTCTCAAGTGTCACCCAGGTTACCCTGACCTACAGAGTTAATTCCAGACTAGCCCTGGATATAGTGTGAGACCCTGTCTCAAAATAAGTGGGTTTTTTAAGCTGAGTGTTGGCACACCTGTACCTGTATTCTCAAAGATTCAACACCTGCATGGTATAGTGAAAGACCCCAGAGACCCCAAGAGTTTGGAGCCTGTCAGGGGGAAGGCCCTTGCCCCCCAAGAGACGAGACCAAACCACTGGATGCAAGTGCAAGAGGTTGTTTATTGTTTACACAGGTACCTGTGGACGCTTCAGTCTTTCGGGGGACTGAGCGTGCCTTTTAAAACTCAGGCAGTTTATATAGGGTTGGGGTGGCAAGAAGCAGGCTTACAGAAGCAGAAGCATGGTTACAGGGATTTCATTCTTTCATCTAAATGTAGCAGTTGTAGTTAACCAAGGACAGTTGGTTATTCGGGTTGGGCACAAAGAATACAAAGAATTCAGTTATGACTCTCTCAGCATCCCGGATACTGTCCTGCTGACCTTGCTTTGGTCCAAGCTGCAGACCACAGATATCTGGTTGGCGTTGGATGAGAGCAGCACCTGGTTCCCTCCTGTACTTTTCTCATAACTTGACCCTGGCAAATTAGCAAGAGCAATTCAAACAGGCAATAAGCATAGTGGGGGTCTTTCAATAGGAAGTCTCAAAAATAACACAAAAGAGGGTAGCAAATGGCATTCCATTCAGACCCTCACCTGCAGCAAGTACCAGACCCCAGAAGTCAACGGCTTGAGCACATAAGCTGTCCCCACTTCAGATGACCCCTTACAAGTCACTGGCCACTGTGCTTCTGAAGAACCAGTGGTAAATTCCATGGGTTCAGCTAGAAATCTAGCTCGCAGGAGGGCTGAGGCAGAAGGATTGCCAAGAGTTCTAGGACAGTCTGGACTGCAGTGTAAGAGCTTGTCCCCCTATCAAAAACAGAACTCAGCGTGTCCCTCTACCCCTACTTGGATGCATAACTTTCTAGAATGTTTCACAGAATGGGAAAGATGCTTCCTAAAGGACACACACCTATAAACCCTGAATGCACAGGGCTGGAGCAGGAGGATTGCCAGTGTCATCAGGTGGAGACCTGTCTGCGCTAGGGCGCTACATAGTGAGACCCCATCTTTTGTTTGTTTGTTTGTTTTTTGGTTTTTTTTTTTGTTTTCTTAGTTTTTTGTTTTTTATGTGTGAGTGATTTTGCCTGCATGCATGTCTGGTTACCAGGTGTGTACCTGGTTCCCCAGAATGTCAATTTCCTTGGAACTAAAGTTACAAATGGTTTTTGAGCCACCATGTGGGTACTGGGAATTGAACCTAGGTCCTCTGGAAGAGCAGCCATTGCTCTTAACTGCTGAGGCATCTCTACAGCCCGAGACCCATCTTTAAAGGAGAGAAAATGGTAAGGTCCTTTGCTGGGCATGGTAGCACATGCTTATAAACCCAGCACTCTAGAGTTAGAGGCAGAAGGATTGAGAGTTCAAAGTTAGCCTCAGCTACATAGTAAGTTAAAGGACATTTTGGGGTGTTTATGAGACCCCACCTAAAAACATGGCAAGACCACACAAAAGGCTGGCTTGGCAGCGCCCAGCTGACTGCTTACCCTCTAGACAGAATTACCGCCCTGACATCAGTTCCAGTCACTGCTGCCATTTGGTAATCCTTTACTGTAAACACTTCAGCCATCAAGTCCCTAACAGCTAGGGAAACTGAGGCTCAAGCAGATGAAGTGACCTAGGAATGTCAGCACAGGGATTCGAACTCACCGTGGAAGCATCATGGACACTGCCCTTTACAGCCACCAGAGGGCACACATAACTTCATCTACACGACTTTTCTGCTGTCCTCTGGAAGGTCTGGCCCTGGCTGGAGGGGGAGGAGCCTGCTTTGGATCCCAGTCCTCATTCCCTGAAGCCCTTGACCAGGAATGATAGCAGGATTCTGAGCCTCACTGGACTCAGCTCCACAGAGAACTTAACAAACACAGCCTAAACCACAGGACTGCTAGGATTAAAACACACCAGAGGTACACCAGTAGGGGTGCAGGCGTGCGCACACACACACACACACACACACACACAAGCCCATGCTACTTTGCAGCCTGGATGCCTTCTAAGCATGTTGTAATAGTCTAAAGCAGTGGTTCTCAACCTTCCTAATGTAAGGATTCAGGCCTTATGCTGGCCTGCCCCTGTCACCTGGCAGAATGCACTCAGGCAGTACTCTGGCCAGCCCAAGGTTCCATGGGTACTAGTCTGCAGGCAGGTGTAAAGGACCCCTTTAAAAGTCAGACCCCGCCCACTTACGCTCTCTTTTTGCTCTCTCTCCAGCTTTCAGTTAGCCACCAGCTACCCCTCTCCTCTTCTCTCTCCCCCTCCCCCTCTCTCCTCTTCTGTTCTGGATGCCTCTATGTCTCTTCCCTTCCCTTCCCTCACTCCCCTTTCTAAATAAACTCCTCATTCAAGCTCTATCTGTCCGGTGTGTTATTCCCTCCAGCCTCGGTCACCTTCACCTGCTAGGGAACCTGCTATGCTCTCCCACGTGGTCCCTTACCTTGTGACCCCACTCACTTGGGACCCTCACTCGGGACCACCCTCCACCCCCCTTCTCCACCTTTTATTCTTATAACTGTAACTAAAGAACAACACCCTAATGCTATGACCCTTTAACACAGCTCCTTGTGGTGTGACCCCCAACCATAAAATTAGTTTCTCTGCTACTTCATAACTGTAATGTTGCTACTGTTATGAATCGTAATGTAAATATCTGTGTTTGCCAATGAGCTTAGGCAACCTCCTGTGAAAGAACTGACTGGTCCATCCCCAAAGGGGTTGTGGCCCACAGGTTGAGAACCACTGGTCTACAGCCACTACACAGAGTACATTCACCAGAACCTGAGTTCAGACACCAGTACCCATGTGACAAGCTAAGCAGGGTCTCCCATGCACCCTAACCCAAGGACGCAGAGACAGAAGGGTCCCTGGAGCCCACTGGCCAGCTAGCCTTGCTGAATGAGTGGCCCCAGGTTTGATAATAGATTCTTTGAAAAAGTAAGGTGGTGCCAGACATCCTGGCTTTGTGAGTTCCAGGCCTGCAAGGGCTACATAGAGAGACCCTGTGCCACAAAACAGCAATAATGATAATGATGATGATGATGGTAGTGGTAATAAAAGGATAATTAAGATCTTTGGTGTCCACGTGAAGTTGGGCATTAGCCTATGTTTAGCAGCCTGAGGTCTTGGGTCCAATCTCCAACATCAAAAAGAGACCCAGCACCCAGGCCTGGTATTACATTACATGAATGCGATTAAGTTTTTGCCTCTTCATTATATATTGTGTAGTTTTGTATGTGTGTGTTTGGGTTTTTGTTGTTTGTTTAAGACAAGGCCTTGGGCATCATTGGGAAGGAAGGGTACTAGTTAAGGTGAGGTTATAAATCTTTAAGGAACCTCTCCATGTCTTAGGGCCTCTTAGACTGAAATAGAAAGTTCCATTTCTCTTTGCACTTTAGATCTCCCTCGCCACTTCTGCTAGGACTGTCCCCAGGTTCTTGCACTATGTCCCAGCTGCCACCCACACCCTGGCCTCTGAAACCAAACTGGAGGGCATGCTGAATATGGGGCAGGTCTGGCCTTGCCTGTGTGTGAACCAGGCCCCTCCAAGCCTGGAGGGGAAGGCACCTCAGGTGTGGTTGCTGTCTGGTCTCTGCCACTCCCCAGTGCATGCTCTGGGGTCTGACACTTCATCTCCCCGAGCAGCAACTTTTCCAGTCAGTGAAATGGAGATGGCAGGCCCTCCTACAGGGCATATGCACACAGTCTGGTTCCAGTCAGCAGCTGCAGTTTGCCTTTTGTTTTGGTTTGGTGTTTTTGTTTGTTTGTTTGATGTTTGGTTTGAGATTAGCTTTTCTTTGCGTAGCCTAGGCTGTCCTAGAACTAACTCTGTAGAGCAGGCTGACCTCAAACTCAGAGATTCCATTGCCTCTGCCTCCCAAGTGTTGGGGTTAAAAGTGTACCACCACCTCCTGGTCTGCCTTTCGTTTATTTGGTTTTGGGTTGTTTGTTTGTTTGTTTGTTTGTTTTTGTTTTGAGACAAGGTCTCATGTAGCCCAGGCTGTCCTTGAATTTACTCTGTAGCCAAGGTTGACCTAACTCTCCTGATCTCCCTTTACTTGCTAGTGCTGGGGTTACAGCTGGGCACCAGCACACCAAGCTCATGAAATACTGACGATGAAGTTGAGGATACTGGCCAACCAAACTAAACTCCAGCCTCATCCCAGCTTTTGTTGAGTTGGGGTTAAACCATAAGAGACCAAGGCAGGACCTGCATGCCAGCACTTGCATGTGATCCAAGTTGAGGCAGGAGGATCAGAAGGCGGGCTGGGCTACATAAAGAGACTTCGCCTCAAAATAGAGAGACTGAAGACAGGATGGGTGTGCCTGTGATGCTATAGGCACACATCCAGCCAGTGGGACTTGGGGGCCTTGCTGGATGTGTCTGTGGACTGAAACACAGAGGTAGCTGATATCTTCTAAATATGGTCACATCAGAGTCTTGGACCTCACATCCCTTGGAGTCAGGGGTTGCTTCCTCTCCGTGAACCTGGCTGGGCCAGTGACTGTGAAGGAAGTGGCCCTATCCCACTCTGTTAACTTCCATCACAAATACTCAGAAGGTGGCATAGCTTCCCCTTGTGCTGGCCCCTGAGGTGGGTACCACATGAACACGCATCTACCGCCCTGGCATGGCCTTGTTCTGGGGAAGCCCAGGGATCAGCTATGCAGAAAAACCACATGGAGAAGCCTACTTTAAGTAGTCAAAGATGTGTGGCATCTGTTTATGCTGCAGAATCTTACTTTAACGGTGTAAAGGTGTGTTACTTTTGTTCACGCTGCATTTGTCTAATTATGTAAAGATGTGTTGCATGTGCTTCACTTTGCCTGCCAAGCCACCTGCTTAAGAGCTAAATGGTCAATAGGTAGGCAGAGAAAAGATAGGCGGGCTGGTGGGAAGAGAGAAAAATAGGCTCCAGAGAAAGACCAAAAAAAAAAAAAAAAAAATCACAGGAGGAAGGAAGAGGAGTAGAATGAGGGATATGCCAGGCAGCCCGGTGTAGAAAAGCAGTTACACAAGTAAAAAAAAGTAATAAGCCCTGAGGCAAAAGATAAAGAAAAACAGGTTAATTAAAAAGAGCTAGCCAGAAACCTGCCTAAACTAGGCTGAGTATTCAAAACTATTAATAAGTCTCTGTCATGATTTGGGAGCTGGTTGGTGGCCCAAAAAGAAAAGGCCTAGTTCACAGAGAAAGGCAAATGTCTACCAGCTTCCCTCGGGCTGCAAATACAAACACAAGGACTTAAGCTAGAACCTTTACACTGGGCCTCTCCCAAAATCATGACTCTCAGACACTCAGACATATATCAAGACACTGGTGTATTAGATCGGGTGACATTGGGAATGGTTGTTATGCAGCCATAGCTAATTGATACACGCAGGAAATCTCCTTCGGGGGAAGGAATTCAATACTCTCCAGTGGTTTTTGTGACATGGGACCTATTGAGGCAGAATTGTGGTAATGATGGAGGGGCTTGGTGGCACACGCCTTTAATCCCAGCACTAAGGAGGCAGAGAAAGGCAGATCTCTATGAGTTTGAAGTCAGCCTGGTCTACATGGCTGTTTTCAGGGCAACTGGTAATACACAGTGAGATTCTGTCTCACAACAACAACAATAACAACAAAAACAAGACAAAAAAGAATAGTGATATCAGCCATGTGGATACTAGTTGAACTCTAACCTTACACATGGCTAACTTAATACATTACATTTGTTTATTGGATGTGTGTGTGTGTGCGCGTGTGTGCACGCACATGCGTGCATGTGTGTGCGTGCCATGGTGTACATGTGTACATGTGGAGATCAGAGGGCAGCTCTCCCATCCCTACGTGGGTTTCAAGGGTCAAACTCAGGTTGTGAGGCCTGAGCATCAAGCGTCCCCATTGCCCACTTTACCCACTGAGCTGTCTCATCAGCTCCCAGCATGTTTAATTAATTGTGGTTCTGGGGAGTAATCCTATGGCCTTGACAACACTCATGGAGCACTGCACCCATGAATTTCCCACCAAACTGCAACCCTCTTTTCACTTTGAGTGAAAGGGTGTCACTAAGTGCTGCGGATGCCCTTGAACTGGAACCTGGGTAGGCCTTGGGTTTGTTTCCCTCTTGCCAGCCTCCTGAGTAGCTGAACTTGCAGGGCTATCCCACTGCTGCCTTTATGCTTGCTCTGTGCTTCTAGACTGGGTGTGCAGCTCAGCGTGTGCTAGCACGAAGAGATGCTGTGGAGAGGAATGCGGAGGAACCTCGGATCCAGGCATTTCAGGCTCTACAGCCAGCGTGCTTGCAGACAGCAGGAGACCTTTTCTATCTGGAGTCGTTTGGAATTATCGCCATCATGTTCCTCATCACCTTCACCATCAACATTACCATTATCACTATTTCACTCTTACCATCCCCATCATCGCCAGCGTACTAAGACAAAGTCTTGCTGTGATGCTCAGGCTGGCCTTAACCTCACAACCCTCCTGCCTCTGCTTCCTGAGTGCTAGGACTTCAGGCAGAGTTTCTGCAGAGCTCTCACCCTTCCATACCACCTTCAGTAACAGAATCTTTACGCTTCCCCTTCAAACGTCCCTCGGGCCGCCTGATGCCTATAATCCACGTGCTTTCATCACAGCTTCTACCTGAAAGCAGAAGTAACAGGTTGGAGTCAAAAAGCAAGGTGGAGAGTGGGTAAGGGAGCCTGTGTCTTTAAGAGCTGGGGCGGGACGAGCCTTAGAGGGCGTGTCTTAGGCGAGGAAAGGCGGACTGGGGAGTGGCCAGGCAGGGAAATGGGCGGGGCGGTTTGTGTAGGCGGGGCCCAGCTGCTTTTGGCCTGGGCTCTAGGGGCGGAAGGTCGTGGCGCGCGGGCCATCCGGCTGGAAGAAGACTCTGAGCTTGTGAGCTTGCGGGTCCAGGTCCCGCCCGAGGTAAGAGGAGCCCGAGCTTCGCAGCCCGAGCACCCAACTTCAGCTTCTTAACCCGGGTTCCAACTGGGACCCCCCAAACCAGAAAGCACTGCCCGGTTCTTATCCCTGTCCTTCGCCGTCAAGTCTGCCCACCTCTGCAGCGTTCCACACAGGTGCCGGCATGCTGTGAGCTCAATAGATGCTCATTTGGAAATGAGTAAAAGAAATTGGCAGACAGTGGAGTGGAGATTTGTGTCGGGGACCTGCGCCCTGGGTCAGCGCTCGTGTCCATTTCACAGATGCGGACTCCGAGGCCGTATGGCCGTATGCCCAGACTAACCTCAAACTGCCCACATAGCAAACGGAGACTGAACTGGAAGGCCCTGTGTTTTTCCACTGCGTGTCGGTCCCAAGTGGAGTAGCTAGAACAAGGAGAGACGAGACTCTCTTCCTGTCAACAGGTGAGGAAGCATCCGGACACCCTTCCACTCCTCTGGGGTCTCTTCCTGTCCTCCCCTGGCTCTGAGGAGATTGAGAAATGCATGTGCAGGGAGTCACACCCTCTCAAAACTAAAACCAAGAGAACTGATGGCCTTTGCCTCCCGATTGCAAAAATAAAATGGTCAAAACATGTGAGGCAGCTTGCCTAAGACTTTGAGCCAGTTTCTGCTTGGAGAGAAAAATGAAGCCCTCTCTCCCTGGCAGGAGGGAAGTGGATTATGCTGCAGCCCCTCCCAACTCGGCCGACTCTGGTCCCAGGCAGTTTAGGTGGCTTTGAGTAACTCACTTCCCTCTGGGCCTCAATTTCCCTATCGAGGACGGTTGGCTTTGTGGGTTTCTTTCTTGCCGCATGACCCTGGGCAGCCTGCTGAACTGTCTATCCCCAGCCCTCTGAACACTCAGAGAGGGCACCGCGGTGTGGCACCTCTGCTTGCTGACTGAGAGTGACAGCGCTTCACCGTGCCTCAGTTTCCCCATGTAGGGATCCAATGAGGTCCCTGGTGTAACATGCTGGGCACATTGCAAGACATCAAAGGAGGTTGTGGGGTATGAGGCGCTGGCCTCTGTAGGTCTTGGTGGCCACAGCCAAGGCCACCTCAGAAGTATGTTCTTTTGTTTTTGTTTTTGTTTTGTTTTTTTTTTTTTTTTTACTCTGGAACTTAGTGGCTGGCACACATTGAAATCTCAGCTCCTGAAGAGGCTGAGGCAGGAGAAACATGAGTTTAAGGTCAGCTCTGGCAAGTTTAGGAGAGCCTGCCCCAAAATAAAGAGTAGGAAGGGGGTAGAAACCAGGTGGTTCACATCTGTAAGCCCAGTGCTCCCAAACCAGAAGCAAGAGGATTGTCACTAGCTCAAGAGCAGCCCAGGTTACATAGTAAAGTCCAGGTTAGCCTGTCTCAAACAAACAAACAAACAAAAACAAAAAAACAAGGCTGGACATTATAGCCCAGTGCTAGAGTGCTTGCCTACATTCATAAGGCCCTGAGGTCCATCCTGATGCCCCACCCAAAAAGGAAAAAAATCAAAAGTCTGAGTTCCTTGTTCTTATAATGGGCTACTTCCCATACTGATCTCATTCAGCTGTCTGGCTTGCTCCCTAGGGCTCTTCCAGGCCTGATGTGTTGGTGAAGGGCAGGTCTCAGGGAGACACCCTGGGGGGGGTCACTCCTGGGAGGAGTTAAGTGCTCTCCCTTGGGAATGGGGCCTCTATATTGAGGAGACTTGGCTTGGGCTCCTTAAGGCCCTGGGGCCTGCAGAGATAATGTCCCCTCCTCTCACCCCACCCTGCAGGCACTGGAGTACGGGAGTGACCAGCCCTTTGCAACTGAAGCAAGCAGAGGGGGCTGGCCTGGCCCCAAGGGGCTGATGGCAGGCAGATGGCTGGGTCTGCGCTGGGCAGCTGGCTTCCTGTACGTGCCTCTGATAATGGAGACGGCTTCTGGGGCCAGAGATCCACCCGTGAAGGCCCATGAGTACATCCAGTTTTCAGCCCGAGGTGTCAACTGGACTGCCATGGCAGACGTGAGTACCCAGGCAGGGCAGGAAGGTGGATTGGGTGGAGTGTGTCTGTCGTATTGCCAGCTAACTATTACACATCTACTGTGTGTCAGCACTGGCGGGGCTGGACCCTGGGATCTACCGGAGCTCCTGAGGGAGCTGATGTGAGCAAGACAGATAAAGCCAGAGATTTCAGAGAGCAGGGAGCTGTGTGAACAGCCACACTGTGGGGGGGAGGATGTGAGTGTTCAAAGTTACTTCCGGTTTGGTGGTCTGTGACAAGCGTGTTCTGTGAACAAGTCACCTTGGAGCCAAGCTTTAAAGGAAGGGTGGAAGCCACTTGCTTGCACAGACAGACAGCTGGGGGAAAGGCTAGGGGACAAGTGTAAAGGCCCTGAGGCGGGTTCAAGTTTAGTGCCTTCTCCCACAGCAGCGAGGCCAGAAGGACTGAAACACTGTGTAAGGTTAGACCAGGTGGGCAGAGAGGTGAAGTGTGGGCCAGATTACAAAAGAGCTCTGGACCTTAGGCCAGGAGGTGAGACTAGGGAGCCAAAGGAGGGTTTTAAGCAGAGGGATGTCAAGATCTGATTTATGTCTTTCTTCAAGGGGTCTCCCTGGCTTTGAGAGGGGAGGGGTGGTTGCGGAAAGACCAAGCTGGGAGACTGGGAACATGGCGGTGGGTTTGGTGAAGTGCCAGGGACACACAAAGAGGAACACACAGGTGGATCAGGTGGAGAGCAGGCGGGGATGCGGAATGGATGTCACCATGGGTCCAGCCTGGTAAGCTGAGAGTGACCTAGGACTTGAACAGAGATTTGATTAAGGATCTCTGGGGGAAAAGGATGGCACCGGGCTGGACAAAGGCAGATGGACAGCTGCAGGGCCAGGGAGGAGGGACAGGGAGGAGGGACAGGGAGGAGGGCCCCCAGTGGATCGTAAGGCAGGAGCTGCTGGGGAGAACTTTCTTTTCCTTTTTGCTGTGTGTCTGTGCGCCCTCAAGAGTGTGGGGTGTGTGTGTGTGTGTGTGTGTGTGTGTGTGTGTGTGTGTGAGACGGGTGTGTATAGTGTGGTTCGTATGTGTGTGTGCACGTGTTTGCATATGTGGAGGTTTCCACGTGGTGGGTGCTGCTTACAAAGCTCACCTGGGAACATACTTGTCCATGAGCACGTGATGGCCTGAGGTGGCCTCTTCCCTTGTACTCACTGAGCTAGGATCTCTCAGTCAAACCCGGAGCTTACCAATTTGCCTAGTCCAGTTAGCCAGCTTGCCCTGGGGGAATCCCCTCTTCCTTCTATGGCTGGAACTGCACACACACACACACACACACACACACACACACACACGAGCGCGCGCATTTACCTGGTTTCTAGGGATCCATCATCCAGGCCCTATGCTTGTGAGATGAGCAGCTCTAACCACTGAGCCATCTACCCACTGTCTGAGACAGGGTTTCACATTTCCCAGGCTGGCTTCAAACTCTCTACCAAGTGGAGAATAACTTTGACCTGATCCTCCTGCCTTCTCCTGAGAGCTGACATTCCAGGCATGTGCTGCCTAGTTTCTTTATGTGGATCTGTGGGTAGAACCCAGGGCCGCACCTCGACAGCTGTATTTTCTCTGTCAGAAATCACAAACTCAAACCACCTACACTGAGAGTGTGGCCACCTATACCAAGTTTATGGGAGGGCGAGGGTGTCTGCACCCCACCCTCTGAGATGGCAATTAAGCCCATTTTACAGAAGGGTGGGCAGTTTGCAGTTACGGGGCCTATATAAAATTGGCTGCTCCTTCCCAGGTAGGAATCTGGGTGATTCTGTTTGCTGGGTGATTTGTCCAAGTCATTGTGCTCATCAGGCATCATTGTGCTGAACTCACTTAGAAGGTCTGCCCACTTAAAGGTACTAGATGAAGACTCTGAGGGTCAAGGATGTGAAGATGGCTGTCAGCAAAGTGGCCCCTGGCCCCCTTATGACAAACCAAACCTTCCTCTTTAGCACATGATCTCCCAGAACATGGAGACAGCTCTGTGCCAGGAGCCTGAGGTCAGTTACCCTCGGAGAATGTTCTCATGTAATCTGCATTCATTCACCAAACATCTGTTTATGTTTTACACAGGAACTCACAAGCTGTAGCCCAGGCTGGCCTTAAACTCAAAATAACGTTCCTGCCTCAGCTTCCTGAGTACTGGAATTACAGATATGAGCTACCATGCTGGTGTGCATGTGTGCATGTATGCGTGTGTGTGTGTGTGTGTGTGTGAGAGAGAGAGAGAGAGAGAGAGAGAGAGAGAGAGAGAGAGAGAGAGCACAAGTGGGCATGCTCATGGAGTACTGGGACTAAAACTGTGAGCCACCTCGCCCAGCAGGTTAGCTAATGTTTATTGAGCTCCTGCAGTGTGCAAGAATGAGACAGAGAGCCTGTAGAGCCATCCCCTGCGGCTTTCACTGCTCTGGAAACAGGCCAAGACAGAAACCTGCAGAATAACTTATAAAGTAAAAAGGAACCTGGTTAGAACCAGGTTAAAAGAATGTGGGTGTAGTTCAGAGGCTAGCTGCTTTGCCTCAGGCCATCAGGGGAAGGCATCTCCCCCCCACTCCACACACACACACACACACACACACACACACACACACACACACACACACACACACCCCAAACACACACAGGGTGTCTTTCTCTGTATAGTCCTGACCATCCTGGAAGCCTGCAGACCAGGCTGGCCTCAACTATCTGCCTCAATCTCCCAGTGCTGGGATTAAAGGCATGCTGTGATGTTTTTACTGAGGCCTGAACAGCAGGTGCAGCGGTCCTGGGACAGAGTGATGTTTTTACAAACTGTGGGGTGGGGTGGGGTGGGGGTGGCTGGAATCCTGAGCAGGAGGGACACTGGGTCAGGTGACTCAGCATGATGTCTCTATTCAAGGAATTTCAAACCATTGTAGTTCCTTTGGTTGTTTGCCCCCCCATGTGGTGTGTGCATGTCTGTCTGTCTGTCTATGTCTATATGTCTATGCAGGTCTGTCTGCCTGTTTTTGTCTGTTCGGATGCCTGGGCTGGCCCTTTGGGGCCATCTCAGAGCACGAAGCACAGGGCTTTCCTGACCAATGCTGACCGAGAGTAGAAGGGCCTCTCTTCCTGGGGTCAGGAGGGCTCTGAGAGCCTCAACCGACTTTGGGCCATGGAGTGAGGGTTGAGGAGCATGTGGGCACAAATGTCACCAAGGTGACAGTGGCCACCAGAGCACTTTGAGGAAAGCAGAGTCACGAAACAGCAAGCTGCTTAGCAAAGGTCACACAGTTGGACCCTCGGGGCTCCTGACTCTCCGTCTTTTTCTGCCCAGCTTTTACTGTCCTTCACAATAGCTCGGCTGGCTAGAGGGAGATACTGTGGTCCCAGATCACATGCAGTTTGTCACTTGCCTGGCCCAGTGGGTTTGGGGACAGGAGGTTGTTTTGCTTTAGCACTTGGATGTCTTTCAGAAGGGCATGTGACTGCCCAGACTTCCAAGCGGCCCCGTGGGTTTAGTGTTTCTGTAATCTGTGTGGTTCCCACAGATTGGAATTGGCTGCCCGAGCCTGACCCATGAGCCCAGAGTCTTCTGAGTTCTCCTGGGCTGAAGTGGAGCCTCAGGGAAGAGGGTGGCAGGGCTGTGGGGAGGTAGGCTGTCCCCTAGGCAAGACCCAGAGGGGCACCACCCTCGCCATGCACTGCTGAGTGTGAGCAGAGTGGGGGAGGGCGTGGCCGGGGGGAGGGAGGGATACCCAGCTCAGGCAGGGGCTAGATGGTCAGGCCATGTGGCAGGAGGCCACCTTCAGAGGACTTGTCTGGCTGACTTCCGGGAGTGGGAGCGTGTGTCTCCCATGTGCCTGTCACCCCCTTTGTGTCATGGGCTCTCACTGTGTCGTGTCCCGTCCCGTGCTTCGCTTCAGCTGGCCACTGTCAAGCAGAGCTGGGTGAGACACACCTAGGGCTGCACACAGGCTGTGGGAGGAGGAGGTGGCCCTCCCCTCCCCTCCCCTTCCCTGGGCTATTTCCCAGGCCTCTTGTGTCCAGGGAAGGTGATGCCCTTAGTTAGATCCACTGTCGACATGCCGGGGGTAGTGGGGCACTGTCAGACGATGAGCTGGGCTGAGGACTCGGCTCAGTGATAGAGTGCCTGCACAAAGTGCAGTTGAGGATGCACGAGGCCCGTGGCTTCCCTCCCCAGCACTGCATAAACCATGCTGCCGCTTGCCTGGACTCTCAAGTCTAGGGAGGTGGAGGTGGGAAGATCAGAAGTCCAAGGTTACCCCCAGCCCCCGGCAGGTAGCACGGTCCAGGCCAGCCTTCGCTACATAAGATGCTATCACTGAAAATTCTCCCAGCATCCCCCACTGGTGACGGAGGTGAGGTGGTGGCCCCACTTCTGATCCCTTCTCTAGGCTGGGGCTCCTGGGGCCACAGTGGCAGCCACCAGCCCTGCTCTCTGGCTGTGTCCCTTCCTGTCCTCCTCTGTTCCTGTAATGGCATCCCCAGTACCTCTCCAGCACACCTGTGAGATTGTGTCTCTCTTGTCTCAGCTTCTAGAGGCCACAGCCGAGCCCGTAGGCCGCCACTCAGCACTTTCACTTCCGGGGCTTTTCCCTGACAGAATGTTCTGGCATATGCTGGGGGTCATGTGCTAGGAAGTTCACAGTGGGTGAAGAGAGTCACTACTCCCTGAGGGAGCCCTCAGAGTATCCTAGGAGTTTAAGAATACTGCTGTTATCAGAAAGACTCCAGTGAGGTAGGGGACAAGGCAAATAGTGGCTTGCCCGACCCTGGAGTCCTGGATGTGCCTCTCAAATCCCAGCACTCAGGAGGCAGAATCGGACAGATCTCTGTGAGTTCGAGACCAGCCTGATCTGTAGAGCGAGTTCCAGGAGTACGCAGAGAAACCCTTTCTCAAAAATAAATAAATACATAAGAGGAAGGAAGGCGGGTACAGAGTATCTTGTCTGTCTGTCTGTCTGTCTGTCCTGGGCCCTTGGACTCTTCAGTGTTGTCTTGGTTTCCTTACAAGGACTCAACCCTTGCTCCTGTCACATAGGACTCATGTACTTGTTGGAGCCATCAACAACGCTGCCCGGTGTACTGAAGTTACTCCGCGTGTTTTATCTTTATTGATGTTGGTCATATGCCATGTTGATTAGTGATAGATAAAGCAATTGCAAAAACGAGATTCAGGATATCCTGATTTCTGTAGAGCGGTAGACCACTTGTATATAGCAACTTAAAGAAAAGGGGGTGTCTCCATAAGGGAGTGGGATTGGTAGAAAAGTAAGATGATGGGCGGGGCTTATAACAGGAGATTTAGTATATATATGTGTATATATATATACATATATATATTGCTTTTCTACACATTTATTTTTGTATCTATTTAGTTTTGATTTTTTTCAAGATGGGGTTTCTCTGTGTAGCCCTGTCTGTCGTGGAACTAGCTCTGTATCAAGGCTAACCTTAAAGTCAGAGATCTGCCTGCCTCTGTCTCCTGAGTGCTGGGATTATAAAGGCGTTAGCCACCAACACCCAGCTTGTTTTTATTTTTTTAATTATGTGTGTCTGTGTGCCCTAGCCGGCCAGAGGCATCACATGGTGCTGGGAACCTAACCCAAGTCTTGCATAAGCAGTAAATGCTCTTGATAGCGGAGCCATCTTTCCAGTCCATGTTATTTTATCATGAAGCAAACATGCGTCTGTGGATTACTGTGCTAGGTTGAACTTAATTACCTTTGCCATCTGTTTAGTTCATGTGTGTGAGTGTGGAGGTCAGAGGACAACTTTTGGAGTCATTTCCACCACATGGGGCCCTGGTGGTCGAATTCAGGCCATTTGCTTGGTTTTCGGCGAGCTCCCCTGTGCAGGCATGTTGCTGGTATACACATTTATTTCTAAAACAAAACCCCCCAGTGGATATCTTTGGGGGTCAGGGACAGGCTGACGGAAGATCACATTCAACTGCTTAGATGGGTCCAATCTGGTCTCTCCCTTGGTGGCTCTGTCACCCATGTCCCCTGCCTTCTTCCCTCTCTGCAGTGCCGCGCCGTGTGTAGCCTGAACACTTCTGACCGCTGCGACTTTGTCAGGGTGAACCCCGACTGCCACAGTGCGGGGGGCTACCTGGACTACCTTGAGGGCATCTTCTGCCACTTTCCCCCCAACCTCCTCCCTCTGGCCATCACCCTCTATGTGAGTGAGTCTGTGCCCTGGGGACCTGGTAATGGGCAGGTGTCTCCGGTGGGAAGTTAACTGTCTCCCTTTCTGGTCCCCACCAGGTTTTCTGGCTACTTTACCTCTTTCTGATCCTGGGAGTCACTGCAGCTAAGTTGTGAGTGTGGCCTCGGCTCGTGTCCAGCTTACAGAAGATGGGAAAATGCAATTTTGAGAGCCAGTAACCTAGTTGGGGGATGGATGGGGCAGGGGCCAGTCACTGAGAGCATGCCCATTGCGTGGGTCCTCACGCATGCGTGTGTGCTATGCTTACCTCCCACCTTGGTTTTTTGAGACAGCATTTCTCTGTGTAAACAGCCCTAGCTGTCCTGGAACTCACAAGAGATCCCCCTGCCTCTGCCTCCCAACCGCTGGGATTAAAGGCCACTGTCTGGTTAGAATTCTGTTTTTTGAGACAGGGCCTCTCTCTGATTGGACTAGGCTGGCTGGCCCGTGAGCCCTTGCCTCCTCCACAGCTCTAGTAATTACAGAATGCCACCGTGCCCGGCTTTATCACAAGGGACCCGAGGATTGAACTCAGGTCCCTTATGCTTACAAGGCAAGCACTTTACTACTGGCTGCGTCCCCTCCCTGCAGACCCTGACTGCTGGCTCTTCCTCTTCTAGCTTCTGCCCTAACTTGTCAGCCATCTCCACCAATCTCAAGCTGTCCCACAATGTGGCAGTATCCTTTGATGGAGCTTCCTGTAGGAAAGGGTGGTCGAGGGAGGCAGTGGCACAGGGTGGCGGCTGTGGTCTGCATGGAACCCCCTTGACATACTCCCCCATGGTGTCACCTTCTTGGCCTTCGGGAACGGAGCCCCAGATATCTTCAGCGCTCTAGTGGCTTTCTCAGACCCACGCACGGCTGGCCTGGCCATTGGGGCTCTGTTTGGTGAGTACAGTTCTGTTGGTGTACGGAGGTATTGGGGACCACCCAGGGTGTCCGCTCCTGAGCTCTGGTCTGTTGTCTTCCAGGTGCAGGGGTGCTGGTCACTACTGTGGTGGCCGGAGGCATCACCATCCTGCACCCTTTCATGGCTGCCTCCAGGCCCTTCCTCAGGGACATCGCTTTCTATATGGCGGCTGTGTTCCTAACCTTCACTGCACTCTATCTCGGCAAGATCACGCTGGCGTGGGCACTGGGTGAGCAGTTGGGGCATTCCAGGACAGAGTCTCTGGAAGTGTCCAGGGACAGAGAGGTTGATTTGATACAAAGTGACAAACTACTCAGGCCAGCAAATGATAAACAAAGGGAGGGTGGAATCTGGAGACTTTCAGATGTGATCTTCACCCCAGTGGCCTCACAGCAAACTCAGTCAGTGCTGATTAAGAGAGACCAATATGAGGGTCAGGGAAGCTAGGGGGAGGGGCAAATGGGGAGCTGGCAAGGGTCTTGAGCTGGAGCTACCCAACTCATTCTAGTCGTGGAAGGTAAGAGGCCAGAGACAGGTTAGCCTAGCAGGAGGCTATTGGGGACCACATCCCAGACTTGCCTGTTGCTCTGACTTCTGTGAGCAAACCCACAGGGGCTTAGGGGTTTCTGTCCACCCATGATTCCTTCTCAGATAGGCAGGAAAGGTGGGTCTAGAATGACATGGGAAAGGTATGGAGACTCCCCCAGCAGGACCACCCCCCCCCAGGACCGGGTTAGGCTGATACCTGCCGCCCGGATGCCCGCTGATGGCGCTCTGCACCTCTGCCCACAGGTTACCTGGGTCTCTATGTGTTCTACGTGGTAACGGTCATTCTCTGCACTTGGGTCTACCAACGGCAGCGTAGCAGGTCTCTGGTCCAGTCCACGCCCGAGACACCAGGTAAGGAACTTCCACAAGGGACAGGAGGGAGGGGCTGGCGTCTCTGTCCTTTCCTGCTGTCTCATGTCCCCGAGGCCAGTCTGTCTCTTGCCCAGCCATCTCCTCTCCATGCAGTTCCCACCCTGCCCAGGCCGTGTGTCTATTCCCTGGTTTGTGGTCACAGGTCTCTGCAGCATTACCACAGTTGGTCACAGCAGTACACACTGAGTAAGGAAGAATCCAGATGAACCTTATAGGCACATGTTCAGACCACAGGTACATATATGAACATATAAGTATATGCACACATGTATGTAATGAAACACATTGTAGGTGGAGTTTTCCTGTCCTTGACCCCCCATCCATCCCCAAATAACCAACATAGATATTTAAGATTACTTATAAATGTGCTCATCCAATAGCTCAGGCTTGTTACTAACTAGCTCTTACAACTTACCCCATTTCTGTTCATCTATGTGCTGCCTCAAGACTTGTGGCTTTTACCTCTATCCCATTTGGAGATGGGGAGCTGTTTTCGAGACAGCTTTGGAGCCTTTCCCAGGACACGCTCTGTAAACCTGGCTGGCCTGGAACTCAGACATCCATCCACCTGCCTCTGCCTCCCGAGTGCCGAGACTAAAGGCGTGCGCCACCGCTGCCCAGCACCTCTATCCCATTTTGTGTGTCAATCTTATCAGTCTGATGGGTGACTCCTCTGACTCCACTCTTCCTCATCCCATCAACCAGCACCCCAACACCAGACAGATGGTAGACCCAGACTCCAAAGGCTATACCTGGGAACCTGCAAGCCAGTCTGCATAACGCCTGTCTGTGTGGCTGCAAGCCTGCAGGGGGCAGCACTGTCTCATTTTGGCATGGAGGGCCTGAGGGCTCTCCTACAGGAAGGCTGCCGGGATATCCCCCTCTCTGCTAAGCAAGCTGTTAGAATTCAGAGCCTGCTCCTCCGCTGTGTCTGTAGATACACGGAAGCTGGGCAGGTTGGGTCGGGAAAGGACAGTGATTCTGAGAGAAGCCAAAGTCACAGAGAGGCAAAAGAGCCTTCTGAGTGCTGGAATTAAAGGTATCCGCGCTACTACCTGACAAATGTAATTATTTTTTAAGGTCCTAGGCTAACCTGGAAAAGCCAGTGTAGCCACCCACCTTCCTGTTGGGTATTGAACTGTGCATTGCCATTGCCTGATGTTTGAGGATGTCCTGCGAGCTGTGTTCCCACAGTGCAGGGATCTCTGAGTGTGTGTGGCCGTTGCTGAGAAAGCTAAAGTGAAGGGCTCAGGCAGAATGTGTGTCTGGATGCACAGGGTCCTGGGTTCTATCACCAGCACTCATAAAGCAGGCATGGTGATATCCCAGCATTGCAGCAATGAGGGCTGGAAGTTCAGGGTCAGCCTGGGCTACGTGAGACCCTGCCAAGGGTGTTAACCACGCCCTCCCTGCTCCTGTTCTTACAGAGATACTGTCTGATTCAGAAGATGATCAGGTGTCTTCCAACACCAACAGCTATGACTATGGTGAGGCCCCAGGCCCTGGACCCATGGGAATAAGGAAACACTGGGGCTTGGTTAGGGACCCTCTGCTGGGCTGGGAGGGCAAGGGAATAGGCCTCCCTGGATGAGCCAAGAGTGGCCACACCTGCCCCACCTGCTACACACAGGAGATGAATATCGGCCTCTGTTGCTGGGTCAGGAGACCACTGCCCAAATCCTGATCCAAGCCCTGAATCCCTTGGACTACAGGAAGTGGAGGACCCAGTCGATGTCCTGGAGGCTCCTGAAGGTGGCCAAGGTAAGAGGGGTCTCAGGACCCAATGAAATGCCCTTTGATGGCCAGCCTATCATGCAGTGGAGAGACTGAGTCCTCAGGCATGACTGGGAACCTGAACCAGGGCTCTCTACCCGCTATGGAAGAAGACAAATGTCTGCCAGGGACAGGGAAACCCACCAGAGGCCTGGGTAGATTTTAGGCCTTGTTAGTCTCAGGAATAAAGAATGAAGTACATTTGTTTGTGCCCCTGTGGTATGAGGTCACCTGAGCCCCGTTCCTTCAGTATAAAATGGAATTGTGGGGCAGCTCGTTGGTGGGGCACTTGGCCTAACACACATGAAGCCCTTGGGTCCATCCCCACACTACATAGGTGAGGTGTGGTGGGCATGCCTCTAATCTTGGCACCGAGGAGGCGGCAGAACCAGAGATGGGGACAGCATGCAGACAGGCATGGGCCTGCTTGTGGGTACTGTGCAGCCACAGGGCACCCCAGAATGGGGGAGTCTGCCGCACCCCCTCTAGCTGACACCTCCCACGCCCCCAGTTGCCTGTGGAGTTCTTTCTGCTGCTCACTGTACCCGTCGTGGATCCTGACAAGGATGATCGGAATTGGAAGCGGCCACTCAACTGTCTGCAGCTGGTCATCAGCCCCCTGGTCCTGGTCCTGACCCTGCAGTCGGGGGTCTGTGAGTACCCCTCCCTCACTGCCTCCCTTCTCCTCCTTCTCCCCCAAAGCCTCTTCAGACTAGACTCCAGGGCATGCCTAGCCAACAGACTTCCCTATCAGTGATCCAGTCCTGCCGGCCGCCTGCAGGTGGCGCTATAAACAAGTGGTCCTAGGATGGGCTAGTCCAGCCCTCTCTGCCTATCTCCATCAAAGACGGAGGAGGGCTGGAGGATGGGCGGGGCTCAGAGATGGGACACTTGCCTGGCAGCTGAGGTGCTGGGTTTCACGTCTTTAATCCCAGCACTTATGAGGTAGAGGCAGGTGTATTTCTGAATTTGAAGCCAGCCTGGTCTACAGAGTGAGTTCCAGGACAGCCATGAATATACAGAGAGAAATTCTTTTAAAAAAAAAAAAAATGGGGCTGGAGAGGTAGATTCAGAGGTTAAGAGCACTGACTGCTCTTCCAGGGGACCCGGGTTCAACTTCCAGCAACTACGTGGTAGCTCACAACTATCTGTAATGAGAGCTGGTTCCCTCTTCTGGCCTGCAGGCATACCTGCAGGCAGAACACAATATATTGTATACATACTAAATAAATAAGTCTTAAAAAAAAGTTACAGAATGAGAAATTTCACATCAAATCCCAGCTTTATCATCTTGAGATCTGGGCCAGAAGGAACACTCGCCAGAGCCCAGAGGGGGATGTCTGTCAGTTTCTGTGGTCCTGGAGTGTTCCGGTGCCCTCAGAGTGACTTGCTGGCCCCCACCACACTGGCTTTTCCCTGCTGGCCCCAGGACAAGTTTCATTTTTGCCTTGTAGCTGAGAGACAGACTCACCAGGCACTTTCTAGTCCTACCCCTGATTTTTCTTGTTTTCTGAGGTGAGAAACTAGCACTGCTCATATCTCTGTCTTCCAGCATCTCCCCTCACCAAGGTTGGTGATGTGGGAGTCTGAGGCAAAGGCAATGTGATCACCATGCGACTTTCATGGCAGGGCCATGTTGTGTGGGTGTGTGCCCACACTGTGAAAGGGTGGGGGCGGCGGTGGTTAGGAAGGGAAACGAGGGTGTCTGGGAACCTGGTCCCTTACCGCCTTTGTCCCTGATGGAGCTGTGGCCCTGCTTCCTGCCAGGGCAAGCCTGAAGCTTACTTCCCAGCCCTCACTTTTTAAAAATTTAGATAGCCTTGGTATGTAGCCCCGGCTGGCCTTGAACTCACTGTGTGGAGGAGGAGGGATGCCATACACTCTGGAATTTTCTGCCTCCGTGTCACCAGTGCAGGTGCTAAGATGACAAGCACCATGTCTGGTTTATATGATGCTGGAGGAGGAACCCAGGCTTCCCAACTGTCTAGTGACCCAGCTGCTTTCCCACCTCTTCCTGGCATTTGAGGCAGTGTCTCTTGAACTCTCTATGTAACTGAGTCTGGCCTTGAACTTCTGAACTTGCTCAAAGTCTGTGTCACTTTGTGGGGAGTGGTGGCAGGAAGTGGGAACCAAGGCTGGGGGAATCTCAGCTCCCTTTCTTGTCCCGTAGACGGCATCTATGAGATTGGCGGCCTCCTTCCTGTCTGGGCTGTGGTGGTGATCGTGGGCACAGCTCTGGCCTCAGTGACCTTCTTTGCCACAACTAACAGAGAGCCCCCTAGATTTCACTGGGTAAGGATTGGAGGCCTCCGATGGGCAGCCTGGGTGTGTGTGTCCTGGAGTGGCTTGGTGAGCGGTAATGTCTACCCTACCGGGGAGCTGAACCCCAAGCCATTTGCCTGTTCAGGCTTCTTTTTATACTTGGAGTGGAATAGGCTTGTTTCATTGAGATACTACTCGTGTGCCTTTCTGTTTTTATTTTTGTTTGCTCCATTATGTGCCTAAGTGTTTGGCTTGCATGAGTATACGCACACCATGTTTATGCAAGCTCGTAAGTCTCGAATACTGTCAGGCGAGCACTCTGTCGCTGGGTCACGCCCCAGCCTGGGTTGTGGGTATCTGTTACACAGCTTACGGATAAGGACCTGAGGCTGTGTCCTGTTGGGGACCAGCTGGGGTCCTATCGGGATCCCCATTCCCTCCACAGCTCTTTGCCTTCTTGGGCTTCCTGACCAGTGCCTTGTGGATCAATGCAGCAGCCACCGAGGTGGTGAACATCTTGCGGTCCCTGGGCGTGGTCTTCCGTCTGAGCAACACTGTACTAGGGCTCACTCTCCTGGCCTGGGGGAACAGCATTGGAGGTGACTTGATGCTCTGGGGTGGCTCTTCCCTTCCTTAGCCACAGGCATATATCGAGAGGACATCCAGGGTGTGTGTTCTCTATACCAATGGGTTGCCTACTGTCATTTTTGAGGTGACTCTGTGTGTGTGTGCGCGGGCGCACCTAGTTTAATGCAGAAACACTTCACAGCTCCCCAGAGTTCATGCACGGCATGAAACTCATTACAGCCAACCATGTTTAATGTATATGTGGGGGTCTGTGACACACAGGCTGTCACACATACATACCAGCTTGGTTATGGTTGACCAGGTTACCCACTGAACAGGAACAGTCTAGTCTAGCATGGAGCTGGGAGTCCGGAACCCAGCTGTCCTTTAGCTCAGGCCTCTGAGTATCTTACCGAAAGCACGCAAAGGTGCCGTGAGAGCTAGTGGTACAGTACTGCACCCCTAAGGATGCTCCCAGGAGAAAGAGTGGGGTAAGAGGAATTAGAGTGAAGGGTGTCTTAGATGGCGCTGGGTCCCCCAGAAGGCCTCTATTGGTGTTTGTTGACTGACTAGCTGTGTCAGCAGGAGCCTGCCCCTCACAGCCTACTCTCTTTGCAGATGCCTTCTCAGATTTCACGCTGGCCCGCCAGGGCTACCCTCGGATGGCATTCTCTGCCTGTTTCGGTGGCATCATTTTCAGTATCCTTTGTGGGCTTCTCTGAGTCCCCGTGTGGTGTCCCAGCTCTGAGAGTCACAGGGAGACTCTGAGCAGCGCCACCCTTGGGGCTGGCCAGGAACCTATGTCTTTCCCTTTACATTTGGTGATGGGGACTTGAGATTCCATCCTCAGGTTAGTAGAAAGGAATGAACCTGAAATGATCTATAGAGATGGCTTTGGCTCCGCCTCAGCCTCTTACTGTAAGGCACAGGGGTGTGGTCACTTAGCCTCCGTTTCCCCATCTGCTGAGTGCTCACAGGCACCCAGCATTTCCATCACCCATTTTATTAGAGGCATTAGCATCAGGGGCTCTGGGTTGGAGGCCCTGGGTATAGACAGTCAAGAAGGCCATGTACTGAGGAGGCCTCTGAGCCCAGGGCTGAGGTTGAGCGGCTGTGAGGGAGGGCTGCAAGGCTGGGCTGTGGACTCCAGGGAAGCTTCCTGAACCGGCTGCAGATATCCTGGTGGGTGTGGGGCTGGGCTGCTTGCTGCAGATCGCCCGGAACCATACTGCAGAGGTGAAGGTGAGTCAGCCGTCTTGAGGGAAGGCTAGGGTGATCGCAGAATATCTTAAAAATGTTTGGCAAAAATAAACAAACAAACAAAATATTTGGCATAGGGGGTGGAGTTTCCCTGCAAGCAGACTAAGATGCAGCTTGCATGGAATGAGCAGGTGGCCTGAGGCTTCCGTTCCCTTCAGCTTTGCCAGTGAATCAGAGTGATGACATACCCCAGCTTCCTGGATAAGCATATGTGGGATGAGGATCAAAGCTGGAAGTACTCCCCACAGGGAGGAGCTGGGAGCCGAGATGTGCCCCAGAAGGCGGGGCCCGTCACAGTCACATTAAGGGAGGACTCTTTTTTTTTTTTTTTTTTTTTTCTTGTTTGTTCTTTGAGACAGGGTTTCTCTGTGTAGCCCTGGCTATCCTGGAACTCACAGAAATTCATCTGCCTCTGCTGGGATTAAAGGCGTACACCACCATTGCCCGGCTCTCAGGGAGGACACAGGCTGGCCTGGGTGCTTGTGTACGCCAAGACTTTACTGAGGCATCAGAGAACATGTGTTCTGGAGAGTGGAGTCTGGGAATCTTCAACTTGCAGAGACTTGGGGACTCGAGTCAATGGCTCACACGTGCTAAGCCATGGCCCAGAGGGCTCTCATGGGGGGTGCTGAACACCTCTCTTCTTCTCCCCACAGCTGGAGCCAGATGGACTGCTGGTGTGGGTGCTGGCCAGCGCCCTGGGGCTCAGCCTCGTCTTCTCGCTGGTCTCGGTGCCGACTCAGTGTTTCCAGCTCAGCAAGGCATACGGTCTCTGCCTGCTCCTCTTCTATGCCACTTTCCTTGTTGTGGTCCTACTCACGGAATTTGGGGTGATCCACTTGAAGAGGGTCTGACTGAAGCTGCTTGGTGATTCCCCTAGCCTCCTGATGGGAGAACTGGAGGGGGGGCTCCTGTAGTTCCTGTGTACCTCCTGAGAGGGTGGTCTGTCACCGCCAGGGCAGAGCTCTGCATGGATTGCAAGGTCCTGGCTGCCAGGACCCAACTGCCTCAGTCTGGGGATTTGGAGGCTGGCACCACCCCCAGGAAAGGATGGGATGTTAAATGACTGCAGAGCCATTGGGGAGGGTGGCCCCCATCACTGCTGGGCTTTGGGCAGCCCTGTGACTCCCTCTTAGGCTCTAGCATAGTCCCAGCGTCAGCTGAGTCCCGCACCAGTGTTGGCTGAATAGACCCAGCGTGTGGTTTCTCGGCCTCTCAAGTAGTGTTACAGTAGAAGGAAACAGGTCAAGTTAATGGTTGTGCACGGTACTGAGCCAGGTGGCTCAAAGCCACCTGGGCCCTGCCCTGCCCTGCCTGACGAGTGGCTGCTACATTGGACCGTGGATCCAGACTCTTCTAGAACTCTGTGCTCACAATTCTGACTCCCCAATCTACAAAACAGGAGCCAGCCTGGGCCCTGTGCCTACCTCAAGGGGAGCCAGGGGGAGTGACCCCCTCCACAGGGGATTCTTTTAAAAAATGCCACTCAGTCCCTGATGGCTTTCAGCTGTAACTCAGATGATGGTTTTTGGTCCCCCCATCCCACCCCCCATAATAATAAAAGATGAGCTATTTTAATCATACCAGAGAGGCCTGCAGGTCTCCTCAGTTGCCTGGGCAGATGACTGACGGGAAGGCTGGGTGGGGTTAAGGTGGGGTCAGTAGTGTCCCCAACCCACCCCCAAGCTGGAAGTCAGAGGCTGCAGTCACATCTACAAAGCAGAGGCTCTTTATTGACACAACAGAAATCTGGGCACAGTGGGTTTCTAGGTAACAAATCATTGTATAAAACCTTCTGTCGTGGCTCCTTGATCCATACAAAATGATTGTCTGCATGGTGTGGAGTAAGGCTGGGGTGGGGGAGGGGAAGCATGGATTCATAGGTACCCCTGCTGGGCTGTGACACAGAGCCTCCAGTCCCCACTGAGCTGAATTGAGGGAAGGGGCAGCTGGACTTAGACAGGGTTCCAGGGTCCTCAGCTCACAGCCTGGATGACATCCACCTGTCCCCTGTTTGAGAGTCAGCTTGGTGTGCCCAAGGTAGCCCTGTAAGGATAGGTGTCCCCAGGCTACAGGACTGGCTGGAGTTTGGCCTACCAGCCCTATTCCCTCCTGGCACCTGGCTGGTATGTGCTAAACCCAGGTTTTAGTACCTCCATAATAAGCCCAAGATCAGTCCCCCAACTTGTGCCCTGGCCCCCTAAGCTAAGGGGTACTGTCAATTCCTAGGGTAGAGGAAAGGCCTAGGACCAGGCTGGATGCTCCAAGGCACCAGGCCCTCTGTAGAAGCCTCCCCTTTTTGCTTCCAAAATGCCTGTATACAAAAGCTAAGGCACCCAGCTGTGCAAATGAAGCTGCTACTCTGGAGAAGGGGCTGTGGCCGGGAGTCCAGGCTGAATGCCAGTGGAGGCCAAGAGCCCTTCAAAGTGAGAGGGATGCTACAGTCTCCTGACTGCCTGTGGGCACCAGTGGTTTTCCCAGGGGGCTGTGCTTTATTTAAAGTGAAAACACCCACACTCGTGTTCCAGCTTGGCCCCAGGATCAGCTGAATGACGTGCTGGGCCCAGCTCTGTCCTCTTCTGCAGCCTAGAGAACATGAAGGGGCCCATCCCCGTCCACTCTGAGTGCCAAGAAGCAACAGGCCTAGAAGGATGGACGGAGACTGGAGAAGCTTCCCCAGTTCTCCCGAGGCCTGCCTGCCTGTGCACCTCCCCCTTGCTGGGCACTACAGTGGGATGAAGGGCCACAGCTCCGTCCCTGACACTGTTCCCTCACTATCCAATCACCACCTTGTTGAGGACTCCCAGGAGGCCCTGAATGCTTGCCTGCCTCCCTCCCCTCCCACACCGGCCTAGCTTATGTGAACATTGGGGAGGTCAGTCCTCATGGGGCCTCAGAGTCCATGGTGTGGATGTGGTGCCAGGGATGGCGGGGTGGGCAGCCATTGTCCCTGTGCTGTCCTTCCCTTCCCAGCCACAGTATCTACTGGAGGAGGGGGATAGGGTGGGGACTGGCCTCAGCACCGGCTCAAATGAACTCTGCTAAGGCGGTGACCCCCAGAAGGGATGCAGTGTACCCCGGCCAAATTCCTGGGGCCTCCCGTTGGCTCCCTCCTGCTGGGCCTAGCTTCCCCAGGATTTCAGCAAAGGGGTGGACTCGAGAGAAGTGTACGAGACTGGCGCCATCTCTTGTCTAGCAGAGACCTTACTAGACGTGTCTGGCCTCCCTCGGGCTTCCCACAGGATCCCAGGCACTGAATCCCACGGGGAACTTTCTAACACTTTCATCGTCTACAGACACCATCCCGTAGGATGTGGCGTTTCTTCGTAGCGGTTTTGCCCCTAATGCCAGACACAGACAACCTGTGATGGGTGCGGGGGCTGGTGAGGTGAGGTCACTGCAGGGGGCAGCAGGGGGTCCCACCTGTGTGCCCACCCCAGGGGAACACGGGCATCGCCGAGATGGCACAGCCTGTCTGAGGAGCTTCTTGGGAAGAGGGCTTCCAGAGATTTCCATGGTAGGAAGAGCTCAGCCAGGCATGGTCCTCTAGCCCAAGCCAACTTCTGAAGCTCAGGAAGACAGCGCAAGGCGGTTCAAACCGGCCCTGGCTAGTCCTTTTCTGTCTCTGTTAATATGTGCATATATATGAGTGTGTCTGCATACACACATGGTTTCCATACATTGTAGTACATAATACTATGGTGTTATTGCATAGAAGAGCTGGCTTGACCAGACCCGGCTAGGTGACGGTCTGGGAGCGCTGGCGGCTACCAGGAGGCTGCTGGGCTGTCGGGCCAGGCATGTTGCCCTTAAGTTGCTGCTGCTGCATCTCCTGTTCCCGGGCATGCTCCTCATACCATTCCTAGAGCAGAGGCAAGTGATGCTGAGGGCGGCTCACCTTCCGGCCCACTCCTCCAGCTGGGACACAGCCCACCACAAGGGGCCGGGCCGCAAAAGAACCTCTGCTGGGTGAGAGGTCAGTGGAGGCAGAGCCAGGGGCCCACCTTCCAAGACAAACACCCCAGCAGCACCGCCCTGGGGATAGGAACAGTGGCCCCCGATGAAGAAAAAGTCACTGAACCACTAGAGGCCTGAGCCGGGGCCACACAGGTTCCACAGGAGGCCGTGTCTCAGGGTTAGAGGCTGTATGTGGCAGTGTGGGACACTGCTTCTGCTGCCCTCTGAGGGGGTCACAGGGGTCTTTTATAAACGCTCTGTGAGTCTGAGGCTAGCCTGGTCTACAGAATGAGTTCCAGGATAGCCAAGGCTGTTACACAGAGGAACCCTGTCTTGAAAACCCAAAAGCAAAAACAGGCTGGCTGCTCCATCAACGACACTCCAGGCCCTTGGGGGCCTTCGGGCTCTTCCCCATCGCTCTTGCTGCCCTGTGACTGGTGTGGCTGTCTGTGACTGCTAATTCTGCTACCCCTTCCAGCCCACTGCCAATAAACAACTATTAAAGGGGGGGCTACAGGGGGGGCGAGAAAACCCAAACCAGAAACAGAACAAAAAAACTCAGTCCGTGGGGACTGTGCACCAAGGCTCAGCGACCTGCCTCTACATATGGAAAGAAGCCAACCACAACTTCTTGGGTTAACAAGGCCGCTGCAGAGGAAGCCCCAGGGACCCCACAGGGAGGAGGAGGGCTAAGCAGCTCATGCCTCTGGGTTCCGTTGGAAGGGCATGGCGCCAACCTGCAGTGTTTATACTTCGTTTTCCGAGGCAGGGTTTCTCTGTGGCTTTGGAAGCTGTCCTGGAACTCGCTCTGTAGACCAGGCTGGCCTCAAACTCACAGAGATCCATTCGAGTGCCTCTGCCTCCAGAGTGCTGGGATTAAAGGCACGCGCCACCACTGCCTGGCCTATACATTTAACAGTTGTCAGTTTGGTAAGATTGGGAGGGGAGGGAAGGGGGTTGGCTGTCTGACTTTTTCCTTAAAACAAAAGTCCCCAAGTCAAAATGCCCAGCAATGCTTATTCCATCAAGCAACGGGGCAGGAAGTGGGCAGCAGCCGCCCTGCCTGGGCAGCAGCAGGTCCTGTAGGGGCCTTCCGGTCTCTTCCCTCACTCATCTCTGGGAAGAACCACAGGGGCACTGGAAACTCAAGGGGCAGCATGGCTGTGCAGTGGGCTGGACAGGAAAGTGGCCACCCGGCAATGCACCAACATGTCAAGGCTGTGAACGGTGTTGGTCCTGAGTCCCTGGGAGGGCATGGACCCTGCCGGGGCCCTGCCCTCCACCAGGAGGCTCCCCCCCAGGGTGTCAGCCCCTACCTGGATCTCCTCCTGGTACATCTTCAAGCTCAGGTCACTTTTGGTTCTCGACCTCCGGCCCAGAAACACCAAAGAATTTTGCTAGGGAAGAACAGGGGCTGTGAGGTGTATGTAGTTGCAGATGGCAGGACTCGCCTGGGCCTGGGCCCTAGGGCTGTACCATGGAGACTGCTCCTACCCCGCTGACATCTGCAAGGGTGCCACCAGCTTGATGGCAGGCCCCTTCCCCCTTTGCAACTGCGGAGCCTCTTGCCCCTCCCTTACCTGGTATTTCTCCATCTGAGAGAGGGTGTCAAGCAGCCGGGTGACGTCAGAGGAGGCACCTCGTACCTCACGATAAAGCTCCAAGATAGCCAGAAGCTCCTCCTTGGATATTTCCTTCTCGATGACGATGCCGCTGTCCACTGAGGGTGGAGAGAGCTGTGTCCATAACCACTCTCCCCCACTGTAGAGCCTGGCTCTTCCCGCAAGCAGCCCCTGCTCCTGTCCCAGCCACTGGTGGTCCCTCATTCCCCTCCCCTCGCTAATTATCAGGACGTCATGTCCAGCCAACAGCTTACAGGGGACACAGGGCATCAGGGGACGCACTGGTAATCTCAGTGTTTAGGTGCAGAGGGTAGGTGGACCGTCTCAAAGCCAGCCTTGGCTACCTAGCACGTTTGAGGCCAGCTTGGGCCACGTGAGCATCTATCTCACAAAAGGCTTCACGAGGGAGTCTCCAAGAACATAGAAAAACATCAGGTGGCATTCAGGATGCACACACAGGAAGACCGCAAGGTCAAGGCCAGTCTCAGGTATATCCGAGACTGTCTCTAAACACGCACACATGAAGCGAACATATACAACATCCCCTAGCCTGATGCACCACATCGACTGAAGAACAAGTAGGAACAGGTGGGCAGTTCTGGTGGTGTGTGGCTTTTTTGTTTTCTTTCTTCGGTTTGGGGTTGGAATTCAGGACCTGGCACATGTGTACAGAAACAACTCTACCACTGAGCTAAGAATGAAGGCGGCTGCACAAGCAGGAAAAGTGGGCATCGCCAGGCCACTGGGACGCAGAAGGTGTCTACCTCTGCAGTGATGTTCACACATGGGAATCGGGAGCTGTGGTGGTCTGAGTGGATTACAGTGAAACGTGGCATTGGCTGACGGAAGGCTCTTAGCAGTACATGCCGGTCAGGGTTGTACAGGGTTGGGATGAGGCAGAAGGCTGTTCCTCCCACAGCCTTCTCTACTCAGAATGAAATGACAGAGGCTACTTGTTTCACATTTAGAAACTGGGGACGTTTCTTTGTTATTATATTTTTCTAAAAATGTATGTATCTTTTTAGGTATGAATGCTCTGCCTGCACGTATGCCTGTATGCCGGAAGAGAGCATCGGATCCTCATCATAGATGGTTGTGAGCCGCTATGAGGGTGCTGGGAATTGAACTTAGGTCCTCTGGAAGAGCAGCCAGGGCTCTTAACCGCTGAGCCATCTCTCCAGCCCTTCTGCTATTATATTCTTTTAACAAGGGATAAAAATTAGACCTCGGCAGACAAGCCAAAACACAAAGCTGATGCGGTTGGGACAAGCAGGCATGGGGACAGCCGGCGGGACGGCAGAGTGCATGCAGCAGACGGGCAGTGAGCTGCCAGGGCCTGGGGTGTGACGCCCATACGGACCTTCCGAGTCCTGGCTCTTCCGGCTGTAGTTCATGCGGAAGACGAAGGCCTCCAAGATGAAGGCCACGATAATGGTCATTACCACCTGGCCAAGGGAAGACAGTGTGTGGGTGTCACGGTCCCGTCAGATGAGGCCCTTCCTCTCCGACACTGCGGCCCAGGGGACAGAGAACAGCTGTGATGGGACCTACCATGGTCACGATATAGAAGGTCATGAAGTACAGGCGGCTCCAATGGGAGGTCTGCGAGGTGACACCTTCCTGGAGGACGCAGTGAGTGAGCCTGTAGGCGGCACTAGCCGCCACCTCTTTAGTCTGTCAGCCCAGGCCCAAAGCCAGGTGACACGCAGCACTTCCCTGGCCCTCTGTGTGGGTGTGGGGCACCAAGGCTAAGGCCTCTTGCTCCCTGGATCTGAGTGTTCTTTTCCTTAGCATCACCCCCCCACAGCCCTCTCCAGCATGGCTGACTGGAGGGAGCCTGGGTTAGTACAGGTCTCTGACTGGAGAGAATTTAAGGAAGGGGGGACGGGGGGGAAAAAGCCACCCACCCTCACCATACTCGACTTTAGAGACAGAGTCTGTGATCAAAAGCAACCCTCCCGCCTCAGCCTCCCGAGCAGCTGCCACCGCCACACTGCAGGACCAGTCATGTCACGCTGTTGACCAATGGTCAGATAGGTGAAGGTTGTCACGGTGCATGGAGGGAGACGGCAGGTGCGTGGCACAGGGCTGAGGGGTGATGGTGCACTGGGGCCCCGCACCCTGTGGGCACTGGAAGAGAACTGCAGCCCAGCCCCGAGAGGGGGCAAAGGCAGGGGGAGGGGGAGGAGGCCCAGAGCTTTACCATGATGATGTACCAGTTGTTGACAACCGTGAGCTCAAACAGGGTCACTGCAAGGGAAGGGGGTGTGCCTCAGGCCAATGTCAAAGGCCTCCGTCCCCGAGTAACTGCTTGCAGGGACTCCTGCCACCAACCTGTCCCCCCAAAAGGAGTGCTCTTTGCCTGAAGGGCCCATGGTGGGGTGGGGGCAGGTCTGGCTGAGGCTGGCAGTGAGGGAGCGAGCCGCAGATTTAACCAATATAAGATGGGAGCAAGCAGGGGCTCTCCCTTCCCTCGAGAGACCGTGCCCGGTGCTACGACCCTCCCATCGTCAGGCAAGGAACCGGAGAGCAGAGAGGAGGCCCGGGTCCTCTGTCGGGGGCTGCTTGACACTGAAATAGCACTGTTGTGCTGGGTTCCCTCTGGCGGCACTGGAGGTGGGCCACCCTGACAGCGCAGCCCTCCAGCTAGGGCCTCTTACTTCTCTGTCACTGTGAGGCCTGGTGCCAGAGAGAGCCTGGGTCTGCCTGTTCTCCAGCCACAGGGCATTGCTGTGAGTACAAGGGACCCCAGGAGGGCCGCTCAGTGGCCAGAGAGAGCGGAGAGGCCTTATGGCAGCCCTGAGCCAGACTGAGGCCAGCAGCACCCTCCAGGACGCACTCACCGAAGCTGTTGAGGATGTTGTCAAAGTTATTGAGATAGTAGTAGCCGTCCTCTATCTTGGTCTTATTGCCCACTGTGTGGTTGATAAATCGGTAGGCGTCAGCCACCGTGCTGGAGCTAACGAGCAGGACGAGAGGACAGGAGGGTCACAAGATGACCGACCACCTCCACGGGGACAAGCAGGCAAAACAAGGTCTGCCTAGGAGCCTCTCTGTCTCTCAACGCCACCCATATCCTGCCCTACGCATAATCACTGGGCATTGCTTGGTGGAGAAGTGGCGGCCTTCTCTACCCTCCCAGGCTTCTCTGGGGCACTGCTCATGTGTTCCAGCTTTGACCCAGTTGCTGCACTTGGAGGGGATCCTGCTCGCCACACTCCAGGTTTATACTCTTCTGTTAAAATCCATGCTGCCATTTGTAAAAAGTTAGGCGCCCATGCCACCAGGGAGCTCGCTAGCAAGGCTATTATGTACTGAGTCCCCCATCCCGATAGGTACATGGACCCCACGGGAGGTCTGGAATGTGCACTGTGGTGACCATCATTATGCGCTCTGGGTGAAGCCCTCAGCTGGACACAAACCAGGGTCACTGGTGATCTATCAGTGCTCAAGGCCACATGGGCCAGTCGTAAGCGGACGTATTGGTAGTGGATCTTTCTCATTTCCTTTTGGAGGGGAGGGGAGGGGTCGGGGTAGGGCCACAGAGGTCTCGTCCCCTCGTTCTTCATCCCTCATCTCTGTGACCTCCTTGCCACGGTCATCTGTCCAGTCTCTTGCCAGGTCCTAGCCTCTCCTGGACAGTGTATGAGGGGGTGAGGGTTGCTCTGGTTCTGGGAAGGGGTGTGTCGATTGAGGCCTGAGCCCTGCTTGGGATGGGTGACACCGGCTCCCAAACTGTCACTTAGTTCCGTGTGGCCCAAGGCCACGCACGCCACATACTTGCAGCAGTTGCGGTACAGTCGCCCATTGAAGAACTCCATGCCCACGATGGCGAAGGAATAGTAGAAGATGAGCAGTGTGAGGCCGAGGCTGGGGAGGAAGAGGGACAGGGTAGTCAGGGTGGGTGAGGGCAGTGGTAGCTGCAGCGCGTCCTGGTCCCCCGGCACTGACTGCGGGAGGCATGCCCCTAGCCTTGGCCAAGTGGACCACCGAATAGTGTCTGCAGGGGAGGGGCCGCGTGGCTCACGGTGGGGGACGCCAGGGACAGATGCCCCTTGACCAGAGATGCACCCCTTACCTGTGAAGGTAGGCTCACAGGTGACCCCTTACCTGTGAACGTAGACACAGGTGGTAAGTTTGACAGCTCCCTGCCCTCCCCAGTAGACAGTTCAGCCAGGCCGGTGCTGCCGAGGGGACCTATATGGTCCAGACTCTTGCCTCTTTGAAGAGCCCTCCCAGGCCCCCGGATTCAGCCTTCCTGGGACTCCTCCTTGTTCCTACTTCCCCTGAACCCCCACGCAAGCCTCATACTGCCTGGCCCTGCAAGCTGAGAGGTGGGCAGTACCTGGCCATTCGCGGCAGCAGCTCGAACATGGTGTCCAACACGTTGCGGTAGCGTTTCTTCAGCTTAAATAACCTGAGCGATGGGAACACTGTGTTGCTGGGGCTACAGAGGCAGGGGTATGGCCACAGCCCACTTCCTCAGATGGGCCAGAGCCTTGCAAGCCCTCCTCTCCCCACACGAAGACGAGGCTGAGAAACCTCGCAAAGCTGGGCTCACGCCTCTCATGACTCAAACTGTGGCATCTGATGGGACAGACCCAGGACACCGGGCCAGGCCAGGACCCTCTGAGGAGCTGCAGACTGTGCCAGCCTCATATTGTATTATGTGGTTTTAAAAAAAATTTAGTGAGTCCCCCCCCCCCACCACGGGAGTGGACAGACAGATGAAGCCAGGAGTTCAGACGGTGTGACAAGCCCAGGGATGGAGAAGCAGTCACACTCGGGGACTCAGAGCATCGTGTACCCTTACCCTGCAGAGTCCATGATAAAGGAGGGGAGGGGGGAAGGGCGGGGGGGGGCTGCCACCAGCTACTGAGCCCCTTAGCTTAGCTCCAAGGATTTCCAAACCCCCAGTGCCCACCGCTCACCCCCCAGCCCTGCAGGTCACCTCAGCAGCTGAAGGGGGCGCAGGACCACAATGAAATAGAAGGGCTCCATGTTGAGTGTCAGTGCGAGCAGTCCCAGGAAGGCAAAAGCTGTGACTGAGAAATCGAACCTGGGGGGGCCAGGGGAGGAACCAGTTTGTCAATGGCATCCCAGGCCCTTTCCACTTCCTCTGACAGCCCTGCTCTTAGCTCGTGGCTTCCACAGAGCCTGGACCAGCCACAGTGCACACACAGGACAACATCCCGCAATGGGCCACCCCCCAGCCACAGCTCAGGCCTCAGTGTCAGCCTTGGCATTCTGGTCCCGGGGCGCATGTGCCTGGAGACGGCCTCTGTAGAGCATGTGTGGCTCTAAGCACGGGGCGGCAGCCTTGGCCTCCAGCAGCCCCCAGATGGCTGGTCATACTGGGACCTGGCCACGCGGAGGGACTGGAGGCAGGACTCTAAGACGTACCAGGCAGGCACGTGCCACACTGCTCTCACGGGACTCAGTGTCAAGGAGACATGCGTGTTAGACGAGCGTCTACTGAGTATGTCCGGCCCGTTTGTATTTTCTTCCTTGTTCTTTTCTCCCTTCTTTAATATAATATGGTGTCTGTGTTGCCCGGGCAGATGTTGGACTGGGCTCAAGTGATAAGCCATCCACCCCGTCCTAACTGGTGATGACAGCAGATCCCCACCACACTGATTTCCCCTGCTCTGATTAGCTGTATTTTGACGACCCAAGCCCTCGTGAGTGTTGACTGACTTCACAGGCGAGTTACTTTTAAATGAAGGAGGGTACGGGACCCTCCGGAGCTGCATTGAGGCCATGTAGTCAATTTAGTTTGTTTCCACTTTTTAAAACAGGGCCTCATGTAGCCCAGGCTACAGGCAGACATTATACATCTGGGATGACCTTCGACTCCTCATCCTCCTGTCTCTACTTCCCAAGTGCTAGCATGACGGGGCCTGCCACATGGCTTTTTCCACTGCCAGTCAAGAGGAGGTGACACCTTCTGTGGCCCTTGTGGTTTGGGGTTTTTTTTGTTTTTGTTCTGTGAGATAGGTTTCTCTGTGTAGACCAGGCTAGCCTTGAACTCACAGAGATCCGCCTGCCTCTGCCTCCCCAGTGCTGAGATTAAAGGCGTGCGCCACCACGGCCAGGGCCTTTGTGGTTTTAATGGGAGAGGAGGAGCCTGATGACTAGGAAAAGCCAGCCCTGGGGACCAGTGGGGACTGGTGCAGGTGACCCTAGAGGCTTCAGGTAAACGCCCCAGAGGAGTCTTGAATCACAGGCAGGCAGAACTTGCTATCCTATGACCCTCCAAGAGTGTCCCCTGGAGCCTGCCCTTCGGGTGTGGGTGGGGAGAGGGTGGCTGGCACCGACACTTCAGCCCCAGGGTGACCATATACTCTCTACTTACAAGTTCCATCCAGAGGACAGGTACTCCACAGGGCCCAGGCCAGCCACCTTCATGAACAGTTCAACTCCATAGACTGAGATAAGAGGAAGACATCAGGGGCTGATCTGGGCTCTCTCCCCAACCCTCTGTGAGCAGCAGGCCAGCTAGAGGCAAGCCCAAGGGACATGGTGAAGGGGCCAGCTAGGGACAAGCCTGAGGGACATGGCAGAAGGCCTTGAGAGGGGTTTGAAACAAGGTAAAGAGGTCACACTAAACCTCTAAGATGGGGTTCTGTTTTAGGGGCAGGCCATGAGATGCTACTGGCAGACAGAGCTCTCACAGCTGGGTTTAAGCCAGCAGCCAGGCCGAGCCATGCAGCACACTTACTGGTAAGAAACACAAGGTAACTCCAGGGCACATGCCTCGAGATGAAATTCCCTCCTGGAAGACAAGAGAAGTAGCTGGCAGTTGCGGTCAGCCAGGGGCTCTGAGTAAGGCAGGGAGAGGTCCCAGCCGCAGCTCACCTTTCAACATGAATGTCTCCACCAGGATCCACACCCCGTTGATAGCTACCACCAAGTCTGCAACAGAGAGGGAGTCAGAGGGACCAGCCTGCCAGCCTGCAGGGCTATTGGCAGGAACCCAGAGGGTGTGAACAGAGCAGGCCTAGGCTACACACCATTCATGGAAGATTCCCCCTTCTGCTTAGAGCTCTCATTACTGACTAACAACACCCAGGCAATTCCCTCAGGAAATGGCCAGGAATGGCTAATGGCACAGTTTGTGTCTCTATTAGCAACTGGGTTCAGATGTTCAAACGAGTCCAAGTTGTCAACACAGATGGCCAGTCTGCCTGGGCCTGTCTGACTCCGAAGTGACTGTGTGAGGTTAAGAGCACTTGTTGCTCTTGTAGAGAGCCTGGGTCCACTTCCCAGCACCCAGATGGTGGCTCACACCATCCATAACTCCAGTTCCAGGTATCTGACACCCTCTTCTGACCTCTGCATGCTCCAGCCACACACGTGGTGCAGATACTACTCATACAGTAGATAGTAAACTTTTTTCTCTCTCAAAATGCCTGCATGGACACGGTAGCATCGTGCACATAGGAGCCTTCCACACAGCAATCATATCTGGGAGCCACCCCAGGACCAGCAACTGGAGATGGGAAATAAGTGTATGACAGGAGTCAGTGACTAGTTGAATGGACTGACACATTTGCCAGGGGGCCGGCCACCCATGACGGAAGACCATGTGTTCCCTCTCTGTGTGTTACTGTGCAATGGTATCTACTCTTTACTAACACACCGCAATGGGGAAAGGGCGCCTAAAATGTGCTCACATATTTAAGATGGAAGCAATTCGCATATTTGCTATGTACCCCAAACCAGCCTCAAACTCCTGACAATCCTCCTGCCTCAACCTCTGGGGTACGGGAAATTACAGGCTTTCACTACTACACCTGGTTTTTAGAGGTTTTAAAAAATTATACTTGTTTATTTATTTACTATTTACTTGTGGGAAGCCAGGTTGGGCACGTGTCACCAGGTGCCCGGGGTGGTCAGAGAACAGACTTGTGGGAGTTGGTTTCCTCCTTCCACTACATGGGTCCGAGGAAACTGAACTCAGACCTTCTGGCTTGGCAGCAAGCTCCATTAGCCCCTGAGCCATCTTGCTGGCCCTGTTATCGCTTTTACACAGCAGAAAAATAAGCCACGATAAAAGCGTCACCCACTGGGAGGTAATGGATATAACCTATACTTACTTGACTATAATCTGTTTTGAAAATTTGACTTGAAACTGGATAAATATGCTACCAAGTTATAATACAAAGTGTTAAATGAAGGAAGGGAGCACTAAGAACCCAAAATAAAATGAAATAAAGAAAAACCAGAGCACGGACCTTTCATCCCAGCACCTGGGAAAGCCGAGGCAGAGAGAGTTCTATCAGTCTCAGACTAGCTGGGGCTGTCTCAAAACAACAAAAGAGACTACTGTGTCCCAGTTGGTGACCTGCCCACATAACAGACAGAGACTATTTCTGGTGGCCTGCGGCACACTAAGCAAATGTGTGTCCCTAGGTGATGCTCCAGGTGATGCAGGGTCATACCTAGGGTGGGACTGATGCTGGGACCATGGGCCACAGGTCATGGGCTTGTACAGCAGGGGCCCCTTGTGTTAACATTGGGAATCAAGATATAGCAGAGCAGTAAGTTAGGTAAACACCCTGGGGTTGAAAATGAAGCATCAACAGAGACTCATAGCTTGTTTTTGGTTTTTCCAGACAGGGTTTCTCTATTTAACATGCCTAGCTGTCCTGGAACTTGGCTCTGTACACCTGCCTCTGCCTCCTTAGTGCTGGGACTAAAGGCGTGCACCACCACAGTGGGCATAATTTATTATCTTTACAAAGGCAAAATCCAGCTGGGCACATTGTCTCACATCTGTACCCCAATGCTTGGGAGGACCATGGGTTCAAGGCCAGCCTGGAATATAGAGTAAACTGTGGGGCAGCCTGGGTTCCAGAGTGAGACCCTGTCTTGAAAATAAAAATGATATAAAAATAAAATAAAAATGAAAATCAACATACAAGGCATGCTTTTTATTTATGACGGAGTCTAAGAAGATCTGCCCTAGCCAGGAGGTTGGTTTCTACGGCTTTTTGCCTCCTCGATTTAAATCAATCCTCTGAATAAAGTGCATAAAATAAATATGCAATAAATAAACAAACAAACAAGCAAGCAGGACCCTGGCTGTGGGAAGCCAGGAAACAGTTGGTGCAAAGCAATAAGCGCTCTGCTCAAACTGTGGCCTCTGGACACCACTTCCTCACAGAAGGAATCAGGGCTCATCCGCTGAACAGAATCCATGGAAGGTCTGAGAGCCGCCTTCCTGAGGGTGCTGCCCCCCACCCCCTCCCTTCTAGCTAGTGAGCACAAGAACTGTGCCAGGGATCTGGACTGTTGCTGTTGTTTCCTCCCTGTGATGCTGGGGATGGACCCGGGGCTTCCAGAATGCCAGGTGAGCACTCTACCAAACTCTGAATTTGTTTTCTTTGGGTAAGGTCTTCCTGTTGGCCCAGGCTGGCCTAGAACTTGTGGCAATCACTCTGCCTCAGTCTCCCAAGTGCTGGGACTACAGTCATGAACCACCATACTAGATTTTTTTTTTTTTTCCAATTAGCTTAAATGTTAAGAATCACATGTCACTATGGTTACAGTGTCAGACCCAGGGACTCTGGATGTAAGTACCAAATTATAGGGAGTAAGTATGTGCGGCGGGGGACAGACAGAGAGAAAACAGTCACACTCTTCCTTAACTAGCCACCGCGGCAGGCTCAGGTCTGCAGAGGAGGCAAACTGAAACAGGAGGAACCCATCAACACTGTGGTCCCAAAAGGACCAGGTCTGCAACAGAGACACAGAACTGAACCGGGGTCCAGAAGACTAGGAAGTGACCATGCATCACGTAACTGCCACACATAATCAGCTCGGTAATCCAGGTATGCCTGGGTCTCAGAATCTTGCCCTTTTTTTGAGGGGTGCTGGGGACAGAGCCACGTGCTTGGCACCTTCAGGTCTCTTGTCCTTTCACCTTCAAGAACAAAGGACTCAGGAGGGCAGGGGCCCGGAGCTGCTATGTTTCACACTTACACATGAAATACTGGAAGGCCTTCGACTTTACAAGGATGTTAATGCCTGTTTGGAAACAAGAAATGTTAAGGTTAGACTGTCCACCATAGGCCAGGCACTCTTTAACCCTAGCAACGCGACACTTGGGAGGCAGAGGCAGGCAGATAGATCTCTGAGTTCCAGGCCAGCCTGGTCTACAGAGTGAGTTCCAGGACAGTCAGGGTTACATACAGAAACACTGTCTTGAAAAAACAAAAACCAAAATATGAAAAAGCCACCACAAACCTGGCCTTGAACTAAAGGGTGACTAGTCCAGTGGATGCTGTGGCATCCACTTTAACTTTTATTTATTTGAGATGTGGGTTTGCTATGTAACCCAGAATGATCTCAAACTTGCCATCTTCCTGCCTCAGCCTCTCCCGTGCTGGGATTATGGGTGGCGGCTGGCCCTAGCTTCTGAATTACTGATCAGGGTCCTCCCTGATGTTGGAGCTAACTGCTCATTTCCAGCTGGACCACACACACTCACCTTTAAAGATGAGGAAGGCTGTCCGGGGAAGCTCATCAAACCAATGCTGTCTGTTCTTCTTTGCCTGCAATGCAAAGGGTCCAGGGGAGACGGGGTCAGGGCCAGGGATGGGAACATAGCCCAGGCCTCCTCAACTGGGGACAGCAGTGACATTTAGGGATCTGGATGATAAATTGGAGAGCTGGGGCTGAGTGCCCATAGTGTTCCATGCATGGATCATATTTGCAGATGGCCCATTGCTCTGAGAAGGGATGCTATCCTCTGGCACCTCAGGTGAGCTTGGGAAGGCTGGGTTATGGGGTCAGGATCCCAGCTGTGGCTGAGCTGTCTGGATCCCACTGAAGGCTGAGCTGCCTTTCCCATCTCTGCATGCAGATAGGGGACCCTCACCTTCCACTGCAGAGCAGCAACTTCGTAAATATCATAGAAGTCCTTCAGGCTGTCACAAACAAAAGTGAAAAAGGCGGTCACATGCAAGCCTGTCACACACTCACACACACACACACACACACACACACACACACACACACACACACGACGCTCAGCCTCTGCTCCCCGCACCTGCACAAGGCTACCTCTCACAGGAAGATGGACATTTTGTGGGGCCCAGCACTAAGTCAGGGCCCTTACCTGCAGCACCCTGATTGCCTCTGTCCTACAGGGGCTAGGATGACTCAATCCGCTTAGTTCACACTAACCTCTGCCCTGGAACACTGCCCCTTAGGGGAACAGTGGCCTCTGGGGACTGACGGAGTGGTGATCTCAGTCAGAGAGCCCTCACTTCCATAACAGGTGGTGCCCAGCTCAGTGGGCACCACCCTAGCACTTACCAGCCTCAAGGTCAGCAACCACAATTGGAGATCCTCGGGTGCAGCCCTTCCAAGCTGGAGTGGAGTGTGTGTGTGTGCATACGCGCGTGCATGTATAGGGAATGCATTTGTGTAGGCCAGGGGACAACTTTTAGGAGCTGATTCTCTCTTCCCACTTACATGTGTCCCAGGCACCTTTACTCACTGAGCCGTCTTACCTCCTTCTATGGATTTATTTGTTTGTTTGAGACAAGATCTGGAATAATCCATGCTGGCCTCAAACTTACAACATAGCGGGGGGGGGGGGGGAGGCACTAAGTTTCCAATCCTCCTGCTTCAGGGTATTATGTATTAACATTAGAGGGATAAATCACCACATCCAGCCTCACACATTTCTTTTCAGTCAAATCAGATTGATGTGGACGGTTGCTGGGCTTCTGTGGCTTGCAAAAGATGACCAATGACCATGTGAGAGTTGTGGTGTACCCCTCAAAGGCCCCTCTGCAGCCCCCCTCCTAGTGCCCGGAACTGCTTCACTGTAGGGGTGGGGGGTGGGGTCTGGCCACGCTGGCTCCTGGCTCTTACCTGAGCAGTGGTGTGTTGCTCTGATTCAGGGCCTTGAAAGTCAGGAAGCGCTCCCTAGCACTCATCCGGGGCTTGTAGAAGCGCATCAGACCTTCGAACTGTCTATAGGAGATGCCGGCCGGCCTCTGGGGGGAGAAGGAAGGCAGTGTGGTGAGTCACAGGGACGTGAGGATGCAGATGGCATCATGCTGGGGGGGGGGCGTGGGTGTGGGGGGGAGGACAGTTATCTCAATCTGCATTTTGGCACCTGCATTTTCTGCCATTCATGCCAAAAGGGATGCTTCTGGTAGGGAGAGAGAATGAACTCCCCCTCCGTGCCTCGGCCCCAGTGCCCTACCCGATGGCTGGCGAGCAGGCCGTAGGCGTGCTGGATGGCGGATCGCTTATGCAGCAGCAAAGACTTGAACTTGCGCTTTTCGATGTCGTTGAAGGTGTCGAACACCACAGCCAGGAGCTGAAAGGGACAAGCATGGAGCCTTGGCTATCCTCTGAGTGGGTCTGCAGGGCTCAGGGGTCACCCTCTGCCCCCCCCACCCCCGGACAGGGCTTTCATCCAGCCACCCAGGGGGCACTAAGGAGGCCTTCTGGTGGGCTTTACTGCCCAGGATAGGGGACAGCTACTCAAAACCTCAAGGACATGAATTGCTGCCCTTTGCACATTTCTCTCCTGAAGGCACTATCGATGGGTATTCCTCAGGCCCCTCTTCTGTCCCCAACAGCCAGAGGACAGGCCAGGGACATCAACCCTGGAGCCTCCTCCTACTACCACGGTTACTTTTCTTGTGAGTCACAGCTTCCTGTGAGGTTCCAGGGATGGGGGGTGGGAGGTAGGTGGGGAGAAGGAGGCCTGCATGCCAGAAAAGAACATTCCAGAACTGCCCTAGAGCAAAGTCAATTCATTAACGAGGGGAACAGAGGATGGGGAAGATCTGACAGATACACAGCCGTTCAAAGATGCTTTGAGTGAGCTATCCTGTTCTTTCAACCCCCCCCCCCCGCCCACCCCCTCATTGTTTTCCATGTAGATTGAAAGCACGCATTTTTCCACCAAAGGCCATGTAGGAAAGACTTGCGGAGGTATGGGCAGATGGGCTCTGTTACAAGTTTACACGACCCTATGGCGGGGCTGTTTCCAAGGAGGGATCGGCCACAGATGAGAGTAAACACAGGGCTGTGATTGGACGCCAATAAAACTTACTAAAAGTAATTACTGTGTGTGTGTGCACACGCACGCATGTGTGTGTGTCTGTGTGAGCATATGTGCTATAGTGCAATTTGGGGGCCACAGGACAACTTTTGGGGGCCGTTCTACGCTACTCAGGCTGTGAGGCTTGTAGGCAAATGCTTTTACCTGCTGAGCTATCACACTGGCCCTCTCTTATTTTTTTGAGACAGTCTTACGATGTATGTAGCCATGGCTGGTCTGGAGTTTGCTATGTCCTTGCATCCTCCACCTGAGTGCCAGGGTTGCAGGCGTGTGGCATTGGGCCCAAGCCTTCCCTATTGTTCTGACTTGGTGCCGGCCACACAGAAATCCCCTGCCTTTCCCCATGTTCCAGTCAACAGACCCTCTGCATCCCGGAGCCTCGCCCCATTCTGGAGGAGGAACGTTGAGGCAGACAAGCTTTGCCCACTCAACCTGGAAGCGCTGTGCCACATTCTTTCTGTGCAGTCCCCTGTGGCTGTCCACACTTCCACCATGCCTTTGTAACGGAGTCTCTGAAAACCCAAAGGATGGAGTGTGGGGTGTTTCTAGAGAGCCTGGAGGTTCCTGCAGGGGCAAGTCGGGAGAGGACAGGAGAGTGTCCACTGTGCCCGTACAAATCTCATCTGGACTCCTTGCAGTTCCTTTACTATAAACCTGCAAACAGATCTTCCTAGTTCTACGAGTCCCCAAGGAAATCACTGACCCTAAGGTGAGGGTTGCAGGGACCCTGCTATGCAACCACTGAGCCAGAAGCAAAGGGGTCCCCTGGTGCTTATAGCTGCCTGAAGTTTGGGGACCAAGCCCTTGCCTTGTGGGGTCTGGCGCTGTCTGGAAGTGGGATGGGCAAAAGCTGCCAGAAAGCACACACACCTGCTGGCCCACAGGCTGCTTACAACTTCAGAGGCGGTGGAGAGCTTTGGGGTGTGGCTGGTCTGGAAGCTAATTACAAACTACCTCAGTTCCTTCATGGTCATTTACAACCGCCTCTGCGTGCAAACCTTCCGTCTTTGTGGCTATTAAGGAAATCCTGCAGAATGTACAAACACATCACCAGTCTAAAGGCTAACAGTGCCCTCGGCTGGCACGTGAGGTCCACAGCAGGGCTCTCCTTCTCTCTGTAATGTTGACGCCACCAGTGTTTGCAGAGTGTGATGGGCACACATGTCCCTCCGTCCACCTGATTCTCAGCTGCCTCTCCTGCATACGGTGGTGGCAAAACCACAGCACTGCCGCCCTGCATCTGTGTTCAGTCCTCTCCGCACAGTGCCTGGCTGGCTTCATTGGGGGCAAAATGCTTACTTTAAGGAGGGAAGGATGCAGAGGTGAGAATCGCCTTGCTGTAAAACCCAGCATCATCTATGGCGATGGGGGCACGGAGCCAGGGAACCCTGGCCGTCCTCAAACATTCTGCAGGCCCCACACCTGACTGTGGACCTGGGACACACCTGCTTGGTGTCCTGACATCTCCATCCCTGAGCCCACTGCAGACACTCACCAAGTTCATGATGAAGTACAGCTCAATGGAGAGGTACACGATGAAGAAGATGCAGGACCAGGAGCTCCGGGAGTAGGAGGGCATCATCACGTCTGGAAAGCTGCATGGCACAGGGTCACCTCAATCTCTATGGATGCGCCTTGACAGAGACAGCTGCTCCCCTGCACTCCCAGCCACCCCCTTTCCCTCCGCTCAGCCCCGTGTGCACTGAGATGGGGAGAACCTTGGGAGGAAGGAGACAGCCCTGGGCTGGGGCGAGGCCAGCGGTGGGAGTGGACCCTGGCTTACTTGGCTGTGGTCAGAAGAACGAACAGGTTGACGATGCTGTTCTCCAAGGTGTTGAAGTACTACAAGGAAAGGGTGGGGATGTGTGGACCAGCCTGGATAGTCACTCGCAGGGCTCACCTCTCCCCCTTCCTCCTTGGAATACACAGGGCATCTAAGCAGAGGGGCAGTGTCCATGGAGGCCTGGAGTGAGGCCTCCTCCTCTGCTGTCTACTAGAACACTCCAGCATTCCAACCCTGAACCTGGAAGCTTAGCCTATAAGAACAGCAAAAGGAGGCCCCTTGGCTGTCAGGGAAAGCAGCAGCTCAGGTCTGAGGGATGGGGACTCTTGGGAACCAGAAACCGGGCAGGGTACTCTTCTAAACAGGGCCAGGGTCCTCCCAGCTACCCTGTCTGGCAGAAGAGCCTCCCCATAAAGCAAATGACCAAGACCTATTTACTTACTGGGTCGGAAGGGTTAGTGGAGAATAAGTAGAAACCTAGATTGTGGCAGAAAAAAAAAAAAAAAACACACACAGACCAAGAGTGATGTTAGAAGTGGAAACTCCCAAGGCGGGGGTGGGTGGGGAACGTGAGGGAGCTGGGAGGGTCTAAAATGAGTGAGAGCCAGAGAGGAGGCTGGGAGAGGGCACTAGGGCGTGGTGAGGACTGAGGCACACTGGAGAGCCCCTGGGCCGCCACATGTTAACCTGCTGACACCTGGGAATGAGTGTTGACTCTGTCAGCTCCAGCCTTTAGAAAGGGCTAGAAATCTGTTGCATAAAATTGAATTTTAAGATGTAGAGTTTTCACAGTAATCACATCTGTGGGCTGGACCATAGATGCAGGCAGCTGACTGCCTCTGCGCTGAGGGCACAACAGCCAAGTCATGCGAAGGCAGCCAAGGCCCTGGGCAGGGTGCTGTTCTTTCCTTCCTTCCTTCCTCCTCCATCCCTCCCTCTTTCCTTCCTGTCACCCTTCCCTCCTCCCTCCTCTCCCCTCCCCTCCCTCCTGCCTTTCCTCTCACCCTTCCCCGGGAGCCTTACAATCATGACCCAGGGGAAAGCCCCTGCCTCCACACAGATGCCGAATCTGATTCGACCAGAGTGGGTGGCAGGCAGTGCACATGTGTAATCCCAACATTCGGGAGACTGAGGCAGAGAGCTCAAAGGTTCTAAGCCAGCCTGGGCCTACACAGTGAGACCCAGCTGACCTGGCCTTTCAGCAGGTGGGGATGTAGAGGGGAGGTGCCGGTTTATAGCCTCCAGAGCTGTGAGCAACTGAGGCCCTGGCTGCTGAGCCACTCTGCGTGCATGCATAAAGCCCCCGGGACACGGCCTTCCTGGCCTGTGGGTGACGTGTGTTTCGGGACTGGCTGGTGGGGGGGACGCACGGCGCTCACCCAGGATAGCAAAGATGATCATGAAGAAAAGCAGCAACAAAAGGATGTCCATGAAGGGCGGCAGGGACTGGAAGATCTGCCGCAGGTTGCTGGGGAGAGAGACAGCCAGCTGAGAGGTGGGCAGCGGTGGGAGGGGCCATCCGTGCCTCCAGCAGACAGGCTGGTGGGAACGTGACCTGGTGGGAACGTGACCTGGGCCGCTGCCTCTTCCTACTGTACCCCTGAAGGTGACCTGGGACGCTGCCTCTTCCTACTGTACCCCTGAACGTGACCTGGGACGCTGCCTCTTCCTACTGTACCCCTGAACGTGACCTGGGACGCTGCCTCTTCCTACTGTACCCCTGAACGTGACCTGGGACGCTGCCTCTTCCTACTGTACCCCTGAACGTGACCTGGGACGCTGCCTCTTCCTACTGCACCCCTGAACGTGACCTGGGACGCTGCCTCTTCCTACTGTACCCCTGAAGGTGACCTGGGACGCTGCCTCTTCCTACTGTACCCCGGAGGGCTCCATGCTTAGCTTAATCCTAACGCACCTGAGGGCCTCCACTCAGTGGATGACAGGGACAACCAAGGCAGGAGCTGCCACCTCCACGCTAAGAGGGAAGGTGTTGCAAGAGGCTACATGTGGCCTGTGGGGACCAAGGTCACCTTCCGTAGGTTGGAGGGCACATGCACACACAGGTACTAAGCCACCCACTCCCAGGATAGTTGTTTCTAGCTGCAGACACAAAGGATCAAGTGCTCATTCCCTGCCATCAGCGGGTCCCTGGCCAAGTGACTGGAGGGAGTCTCCAAGGATGGCTTTAATCCTAGGCTGGGTCAGCTCAAGCTCAGAGTTCTGGACTAGGTGGGAGGAGCCTGCAGGACAGCTCTGAGAAGTCAGCCTTAGGCTATCTTGTAGGGCCAAGATAGGGAAGGAGCCTCGGCCAGAGTGAGCACACTTCCCAGAAATACACCCTCCGCCGTGCTGAAGCTAATGTGCTGACACTGCCCCCAGAAGCAGGATTGGGAGGGGACCAGTCAACCCAACTCCTGCTCACTCCTCTCCCTGCCAGCCTGGAGGGCCAGGCCTTACCGCCGCACGCCGCCACAGTACCGACAGTCCACCAGGAAAATGCAGCGTAGTGCCCGGGTCACCCGCATGTGGGAGGTCTGCCGCACCAGCACCACAATAGCTTCGATGAACTGTACCACCAGGACAGACGTCTGGGGTTGGGAATGCAGGACATGGTTATCTCCCTGACCCAGCTTCCGATGTACTGAGCAGACACCGATGGGCAGAGAGAGCCCACAGGGACCGCAGAGCTCCTCCTGTGTCTGCCTGTCTCAATAGCAGTGGTGAGCCCTCCTGCAGCCAGCCAGTCCAGATGTGTGGCCTGAGACAAAGCTGGCATGTGGGTCCTCTCTACAGTGAGATGCCACCTGTCCTTGGGTGCTCACTGATACCCTCCCAGCATCCTCATGGCACCAGGAAGCCCTTGAGGACTCAGCCCTTGGGGGGATGTTTTCCTGGACAGACTGCATGGCCTTTGGCGTGGTCCCAGTGAGGTCACAGAGCTGGGTCTGAATCCCACCCTCTGGGCCTGAGACACTGCTCATTCTCTGGTTGGAATATGACATGAGAAGACCATCACACTCCCCCCCACCCCCCCACCCCACCCCCCCCCCCCCCGTGACCACGTATATGCAAATCAGCCCACCAGCATACGCTGGGCCCAGGGGGATTTTAAATGGAGCCATAGATCCAGGTGTCTCAGGGACCCGGGGGAACTCACTCCATGAGATGGACAGATATAGTACCTTGAGCATGGTGCGTTTGTGCCGGACGAATGTGTGGAAGCCCAGCCACCGCAGCTTCATGCAGAGCTCAAACACCACCACCATGAGGGCGAACAGCTCCAGGGTGGCATGGACCTGCAGTCAGAGAGGTGGAGGCCATATCTGGGGAGCCCGTCCATGGCACCACTCCTCTCCTGGGACTTCTTCCGAGGCTCGCACACATACACACACCCACACCCACACACCAGACCTCAAGATGCCAGACTAGGCCTTGGAGACAGAGCTTTCCCCAGACGGCTAAGAATAAACTTGACATTCAACGGAGAGAAATGCAGACCCACACCGTGTGAAGTTAGAAAGCAGCTCGAGGCTCTGGTTGTTCTAGGGAGAACTGTGCAGGACTTAAAAAAAAACAAAACAAAAAACAAAAAACCCACGAAAGGCATCTGGAAGCAAGAACAGGGGATTATAAGCAAAAAGGTAAAAGGTAACAATTGAACAGCCATCTGCATCTAGCAGGCTGCTAGGGCTGGGGGGGGGGTGGCTCAGTTGGGTAAAGGCACTCCCTTGCCTTGTAGGCCTAGTGACCTGAGTTCTTCTCAATTGCCTTGTAGGCCTAATGACCTACCTGAGTTCTACCGCCTGGATCCCACAGACAGACAGAAAGAGAACTCACTCCACAAGTTTTCCTCTAAATACCATACATGTGCCCTGGCATGAGTGCATGTGTACACACACACACACACACACACACACACACGTAAGAAGTAATTCTTTTAAAAAGAGGGATATGTGGACAGCAAACTCTGTAACTACGCTTCCCCACTGATGGAAAGGGAAGGACCCGGGGAAGACCCTCAGGGGACTTCACCCACGTGAGCTGTGGCTCTCCCAGACCTGACCACAGGGTGGCCCTGTAGGACAGGCCTCTGAGTGGGCTCTCAAGGCCCCAGCCTGTCTGTGGAGTCACTTGAAACAGAGGAGCACCTCCTCTAGCTGGGAACAGGGCGCAGCTGGGTCTTCTCTCTGTGCTTCTAGAATGTTCCCCCTTAGGTCCCCTTAAAGGGCTGACAAGGCGCTGTGGCTCCTTTTCCCAGAGCACTCACGTAAATGCCGAGCCTGAGCGCGGGGACGGCGGGTGACTCGCACAGCGACAGCAGCAGCAGCAGCAGGGCCGTGAGCAGCTCCATCAGGTAGAAGAGGTGGTTGTGTGCGAAGAGGTAGGCGGCCAGTGCTCTGGCATCCTTGGGGTGGGTGAAGAACTTGTCATTGTTCTGGCCTTCCTACAAAGACAGGAGAACTTGAGCAGACATCACATGCCGAGGCGGCATCTGGGGAGGTGCTGGGGCAGGTGACCGAGGCCAAGGCACACATCCAGGAAGGTAGTGGGACAGCAGTCGCACTGGGGGACAGCCCCTGCCATCCCGTGGCCCTCTTCCCCTTCTGAGGAGGCCTTGGCTGGAGCTGACAGGGGCCTTGGTCACTTCCTGAAAGCTGGACGTTGCTATCCCACATCAGCAATAGAAGACAAACCGCAGGCCAGACAGAGGAAGCAGGGTTGTGGCCAGGGGAGGCTGAAAGGCCCTGTGGTCTGTACAGGGTGGAGTCTCTCACCATCTCACCGTGGTCTCCAGGGACAGAGAAGGCCTGGAAGCCTCTGTTTTCAATTACTAAAATATGTAATTCTTGTGAAATTTCTCTCTCTCTCTCTCTCTCTCTCTCTCTCTCTCTCTTCTTTCTAGACAGGGTTTCTCTAGACAGGGTTGCTTTGCAGCCTGTCCTGGAACTCACTCTATTAACCAGGCTGGCCTCGAACTCACAGAGATCCACTTGCCTCTGCCTCCCAAATGCTGGGATTAAAGGCCTGCACCACCAACACCTGGCTCTTGCAACTTTTTTCTAACCAGCTGCTAGGGAGGAAGGTGTACCTAAAGAGAGCCTGTTGGGAGGGCTCAGCTCTGAACCCCAGGACTCACAACCACCCAGGGGATGGGGCATGTTGTTTCCAACAGCAAAGACAGACTGAGAATTCACAGAATCTAACACAGCTCCTGGAGAAAGCTTTGGGCTTGTGTACAGACTGTCCACCCCAGGCCACTGTTCTATGGGCTTCAAGTCTCCGGGACGACAGAACCTCGAAGCTCATGGCGCCCAAGGGTGAGTGAGAAAGTTAACAGGCAAATGTGAGAAGAGCCAGGGCCAGAGACCCACATATCCAGTGACCTGGACCGGGCCTTCTCCACCATGGCTGCAGGAGGGATGAGGGGCTGGCCCTGACCCCAGCTGGACGGTCCTCCAGCACAGACCGAACCCACTGGGATCTGAGCTCTGCTGTACATTTTACTGTTAAAAGCTGATGCTGTGGCTGGGCAATGGCGGTTCACGCCTTTAATCCAGCACTCAGGAGGCAGAGGCAGGAGGATCTCTGTGAGTTCTAGGCCAGCCTGGTCTAATAGGAAGTTCTGGGAAAGCCAAGGTTACATAGAGAGATCCTGTCTCAGAACAACAGCAATAACAATGAAAAGACATCTTTAAAAAACAGTTCTCTATATGTAGAATCTGGATTTAACTATGTATCCTCACTATGACGACCAGGCAGGTCTCAAACTTGTGCTTCTCCTGCCTCAGTCGCAGCCATCACACCTGGCTTGAAACCCCTTATTAGGTTTGCCTTAGGGTTTCTATTGCTGTGACGGGATACCATGACCACGGCAACTCTTTTTGTTTGTTTGTTTTCTTGTTTGTTTTGTTTTTCAAGACAGGGTTTCTCCATGTAGCGTAGGAGCCTGTCCTGGAACTCGCACTGTAGATCATGCTGGCCTTAAACTCACAGAGATCTGCCTCTGCCTCCTAAGTGTTGGGATTAAAGGTGTGTGTCCAGCTTGACCACAGCAACTCTTATAAAGAAAAGCATTTAACTGGGGTGGCTTACGGTTTCAGAGGTTTAGTCCATTGTTGTCATGGTGGAACGTGGCGGTGTACAGGCAGAGTCCGACATCTTGACTCACAGGCAAGAGGAGGTGGTCTGAACCATACAAGTGGTCCTAAGGACCCACTCCCCACCCCCAGGTGTGGACCTAGATGCACTCACCTGGAGGTAGATTGCCGCCTCTTGATAATTCATCTCCCAGTTGTGTCTGGTGGGACTGGAGGGGGAACTGTCGGTCCTGGAGACCAGACTGGGAACCTGGGAGTCCTGGATGCTGTGGCTGCCCCCATCTGCGTTGGGAGAGGGGAGAGAGAGTCACTTAGAACCCAGGCTTGAGATAACACAGAAATGCTCAGCACCAGGTCACTCTCTTGTCAACGTGCTAACCTGGACTGCTAGCAACAAGCATCAGGGTGGCTGATCAAAAACGCTTTCTCTTAAGTAAGGGGGGGAAAAAAAAAAAAAAAAAAAAAAAAAAAGCACCGTGCCAGCAAGATGACTCAGCAGATAAAGGTGCTTGCCACCAAGCCAGGTGACCTGAGTTCAACCCCTGGTACTCATATGCAGAAAGCCTTTAAGCTACCCCCTGACCTCCATATGTGCACCTGGCATGTGGGCACGCCAACCCGCTCCTATAAATAAACTAATGTGTTTCTTTTAAAAGAGAGAGAGAGAGAAAAAGCACAAAAGAGCAGAGGGAGGGAGGGAGGGAACGGTCAAACCTACACATGTCTACTTATCTTTAGAAAAAGAAATTATTCAGGGAAGAAAAACAAGAAAGAAACTGGCTGTTTGGGGGGGGGCATGGTAAGTAAGGGCAGGCAGGGGGGCAGGCTCACTGTGTAGACTTTTGACTTTTGGAAGCATGTAGAGATCTTGCTTGGTCAAACATTTAACCAAAGTGGACACCCCCACCCCCGGCGGGGGTGGGGGGCAGGAACATCTGTTGCTTTTCCCTGCCCCCCCCCAACGCCCACCTCTTCCCTGCTTTGTCTGGGCAGAGTGCCCTCTCCCTGCCTTAGCCATACTGTTTGGCTTGGACAGAGCCAGCCCTGGCTGGAAGGCAGCTGACCAGAGAGCCTGCCTGCCGGCAGAGCCAGGAGTCATGGTGGGTGGAGCACTGAAGCCGGCCAACAGGAGCAGCATTTGGCACTTGCCCTGGGTCAGCTGGGCAAGAGGGGCTCTTTCTGTCCTCTGGCTGCACGAGAAGGAAGTCAACGGGACCCTTTGACTTCCAAATCTGAGCATGTTCACATGGCTTGTCACAATCCGAAGCCTCTCCTGGTACACATGCTTAAATCTGAGCACTGGGCATGAGTCCACTTGGCTAATCTACTGAGAAGAAGTGAATTTATGACAATCTGGTTACCCGCAACCCACGCTGTGAACGAGGTTTCTGTAGGAGGGACCCAATGTTAGATTCTTCACAAAGCCACCCAGGGCTAGGGCAGAAAGGGTCAGGTCCACAGGGCCACTTGGTTCCAAGATCTCGCTGACCTGGAAGTGTGGGCCAGGGTCATTGGGTACGGCCATTAACAAGGCTCTTCCCACAAATTTATAAAAACACAAAGAGGGGACCGTTGATGCTCACTAAAATGTACATGTTTTAAAGTGTATGGATTGACAGTTTTGCTTTTGGGTGGTGTCAGGCTAGGACCGGGTGGATACTCTTACCACTGAGCTACACTCTCAGCCCAACCAGGTATTAAGTTTGTACACACTTGTGAAAGAAGCAGCTAAATTAAGAAGTAAAGCCAGCATGGCCTGGGTGCACAGGCCTGGAGTCTCAGCTAGCTGAGGGGTCCAGCAGGAAAACTGCAAATTCAAAGCCTGCCTGGATTAGAGAGTGAGTTCAAATCCACCCAGACTCGAAGACTGTCTCAGAATAAAATGCTGGACTGGTGAGACGGTAAAGGGTCTTGCTGCCGAGCCTGATGACCTGAGCTCAACCCCCAGGATTCACACAGATGAAGCAGAGAGCTGATTCCCATGGCTGCTCTATGACTTTCACACGTGCACCAATAAACACAGTAAGCAATTAAATGTTAAATAAGCCACCTATGATGGCACATTCCTTTAATCACAGTACTGGAGAAGTGGAGACAGGTATGTCTCTTTAAGGTCAAAGGTCAGCCTGGTCTATACAGCAAGTTCCAGGTCAGCTAGTGTCACATAGCAAGACCCTGTCTCAAAACGAACAAACAAAACCAAAACCAACCAAATGAAAACATTAATTAATTAAATAAGCAAAAAAATGAATTAAACAAAAGTAAACTGGGCCAGAGACACAACACACTGGGAAAACACTAGTTCTGTGTGCAAAAGGCCCCGAGTCAATCCCCAGCACCCAAAGACTAACTAAAAAGATAAATAAAGTCTGGTGTAGTGGCGCACGCCTTCAATCCCAACACTCGGGAGGCAGAGTCAGGCGGGTCTCTGTGAGCTTGAGCCCAGCCTGGTCTATAAAGCCAGTTCCAGGACAGCCAAAGCTGTCCTGAACAGAAACCCTGTCTCGAAAAACCAAAAATACACAAAGAAGAAATGTAAATAAAAGGATGACAGGACCATCGCTTCATCACTTCCTGTGACTGCTGTCCCACCCTAGATGACCACTCAGCTGCTACCCTGCCTAATGACAATGCACATCTTAGAATATTGTTTAAGACATCGTCCAGTCTGCACATGTGGCTGCCTCCTCTCACCACAGTTACCCTGAAGTGAATTGGCGTTGTCCCGTGTGTCATCAGCTCTGTGCTACTGAGCATATCCCATCCTGTAACTGTGCCCTCAAGTACCCATGGTGTCCCTCCCGACATCCACAGAAGAAAAACCTAGGCCAGGCATGGTGGCCCGATGCAATCCCAGCACTCTGGGGACTGGAGCAGGAGGACGATGACAAGCTTGGCCTAGGTTTTACCTCTGAGAAGATAAACTTGTGACCAGTCATCCCACCTCTAGGTACTTAATTACTCCAAAGGAATGAGAGCGCTTGCCCCACAGCGAGCCTGGCGCTGCAGAAGCTGCGCCTTAGTACCGCGTCTGTGGAACACAAGGATAGCATTCCAGCTTCCAGACAGGCATGCAAATGACAGAGTCTAAACACTGGGTTCTTCCTACAGATGCCTTGTAAGGTGTGGTCGGGGAGAACCAGACTGTCCAATTCATTTCTTCCTGTCCGACCCAGATGCCTTGTTCCTCGCTGGTCACAGCTCTGGAGCAAGTCTCATGCACACAAGTGTGTGTGTGTGTGTGTGTGTGAGCACGCACGTGCCTGCTGGCGTGTACAGTATGCAGGTAGGGAATTCCTGACAGAAGAGACAGTGCCCATGGGACATAGCATCACTTCGAGCTCAAGTGTGATGTGTTGCACACTGATATAATTCTGAAACACAAGGGCTCTATAGGGTGTGTCCTGTTACAAATGTGACCATACAGGCAGGTTCAGCAAATGTGCCCAAGACCCCGCCACTGTGAGAGGCTGAGCCAGGACGTGGGCCCTGGCTGTAGGGCTCCAGAGGGATGCACGGGTCACTCTGCTGCAGGTGTGGTGGGCATGCGTGTGAAGCTCCAGTCTACCCATGTCCCTCTACTATATAAGACCCTCCACAGGCCCAGCCTGGGTGGAAAACCCAGAATGTTGCTTCTCTTTCCATGTTTCAGCATGTACAAAGTCCTCACAGGCAGGCAGGGCGTCAGCCTGGGGTGACTGGCTGCCACGGAGGGCAGCTGCTCATCACAGAGCACCAAGGGGCTCTGTACAGAGAAGTGGCGTGGTACCACAGAGGCAACATGCCACCACCCCACAGCTACAGATTACGAGTGGCTAGTGAGGACGGTGAGGGCAGAAGTGTGCGGCCAGGCCACAGGACTCGGTAACAAAGGACAGATGTGTGCAGCGAGGCCTCAGGGCTGGGTAACAACGGGCAGACTACGAAAAATGGCAGTCAGTGCCGAGCTCCAACTTCAACTGGGCACACGTGTGTTTTATTTCGTCCCAGATATGGACTGTGATTTAGGACTAACCGTTGCTGGGGCATCAATGTATTTATAGGTAGGCAGCAATCACATGAAAACAGGCAGGCCTGGGGATGTGGCTCAGCTGATAGAATGTTTGCCTAACATGTTCCAAGACCCAGGTTCAATCCCCAGCACCACACATATCTATAAATTGAAACTGGGCATGGTCGCACACTCGTGTAATTCCAGTACTTAGGGCGTTGAGACAGGAGGATCTGAGTTCAAGTCATCCTCTGCTACAGTTTATGACCAGCCAAATGAAAAAAAAACAAAAAACAAAAAACAAAACAACTAGCCAACTAACTAATCAACAAAGGCTGGCAGGCAGGCAGATGCACACGGCCTGAGAAACGACCCCAAACTCAGGCTCTGCCCTGAGGAGTCAGCAGCTCTTGGACTGTGTGTGGGGGCTGGGGCCTTCCACCAACACTGCCTAGCTGAGCTGTCCTGCTCCAAGACGACAATAACCCTGTTAGCACACAGGAGTCCCTCCCTCCCTCTGCCTGACGAACCACGGCCCACTAGTCTACATGGACGCCACTCAGCTCATCCTGGGATGACAGACACAGGGCCAGACTTGTCACCGGGCACATCACCAGCACAGGACGGCCTCTCCCTCACTGGGGTCAGCACCTTTTGCACTGCTGGAGCTGACACCAAGTCCAGGTGTGGGTAAATTTGTCTGGATTCAGAGGACGAGTGACAGGCTCTGCCACAGAGGACCACGGGCTCACTGTGAAGAGGCAGAAGACAGGGGGTCCTGCCCTTGGCCTCTCATGCAGATGGAGCAGCTGAATCAACACAGGCACAAGGGGGCTCAGGAAACTGACAGGCCCCTCCCCTAGGACCAAAATCATTCCCCACAGATTCCTGCCTCAGCCTCCCTTCTCTGAGTACTTCCATGCTGCAAACAAGCACCAGATACTATATAAACTAGGCACAATTATGTCCCCTGAACCGACCGACCTTCCATGGACTTGTCCCTTACTGTCCTGCCCCATGACCTTTTCCATACCAGAGAAATCTGCTCTGTGCGTGTGTATGTGCCTGTGTGTATGTGTGTCTCTGTATGTCTATATCTGTGTCTGTGTGCCTCTGTGTATGTCTCTCTGTGTGTGTGTGTATGTCTGTGTATGTCTCTCTGTGTGTGTATGTATGTCTGTGTATGTCTCTCTGTGTGTGTATGTATGTCTGTGTGTATATGTATATGCATCTGTGTATGCCTGTGCATGTATGTCTGTGTGTGTGTGTGTACGTGTGTTAACTTCCCAGT